CTGCCACAGAATCGGAAGTGAAATTCATTGCAGCAAAATTTTATGCTGACATAAATTTTGAAGATAAGTTTTTGCAATGGAAAGTAATGCCATTAAACTTCAATTTAGCAAAAACTGAAAAATATTTTCTTTCCAAGGTCACATTTCATGTTCTTCTCAAGCGTAGTCCATATTTCATTCTTATCAATGTTGTGTTTCCAATTTGTGTATTAGGAGGCGTTCACTTACTTGTGTTTTTCCTTCCAGCTGAATCAGGGGAAAGAATAGGGTACTCAATCACAATATATCTTGCAATAATAGTATTTATGTCCAATATTTCATCAATCCTTCCTCAAACAAGCAATCCGATAAGTATTTTTAATGTGATGGTGTTTTCGCAGCTTTGTATTTCGTCCTGTATAATGGCTGCAGTGATTTTCATTTCCCGAGTGTATCACGTAGATGAATGTACACATGTTTCTGGTTTTGCTAAGGTCATTCTTAGCAAAAAACATAAATCAGAGGAGCAAAAAGGTTCAAACACTTTGAACCCATGGAAAGAAATTGGAAAATCATTAGATAAAGTTATGTTTTATATATTTCTTTTTGGTGAGTCAGCTGAAATATTAATCATGTTTCTTCTCATGAATTATGCTTAGAGTATAAAAAAAGCACATATGTTTTGGATATTATTTCTGAATGTGATAGCTTAAATATTCTTGAAACACTATAAAATATTTATTTTCCAACAAGCTAGATATAGAATTTACCATTTTTAATATGTTAGAAATATAGTAAATTTATAAAACAACCCCCACTTTCACTGAAATGTCTTAAACAGCTTATTTCACTTTTTATGATGCGTAGGAAATCACCCTCTATATATTATCTCACTCGAATCATAAACATATTGTTATTCAATACCATATTTTAAAGAGGCATTTGGTAAGTGGAGATTCTCAGATAATATTCAGGTAAAGAAAAATTAATATAAAGTTACATTTTAGAATATGTACACCATCATTGAAAATAAAAAAAAAATGAATTATTTTCAGCAACTATATTTTTTTTTCAATTTTCATTTTCACTGGTATCTTGACTTCCGTCAGAAATAATGAAGAGATTTTGATTTTTAAAAAAAAATGCTAAAATCTAATGATTATCAACAATTATGTGATCTTTCTCACAATAACGTACATCAACTTTTTTGCTGAAAAAAGTCTATTCTTTAACAGATGTCATTTTCAAATTATGAAAATATCAATCGGAGATGTACAGTACCACACTGCAGTACAAGTTCACTATAAATCACTATAATGTTTATAATATAATATAATTTACAAAACAATGGATATGTAAATTAATTTTGTCAAACTTTAAGGAAATGGGCTGAATTAAAGCTAATTCAGATTTTCAAACGAAAAGGGTAATTCTTTTTGCATCATTTTTATGTGTCTATGAATCAAAATGTTGTTTCAATTTGAAGAAAGAGACATCTAATAGGGACAACATGGAAACAGAGACATGTAATAGAAAATTCGTTGTTTTTTTTCTTCTTTTTTTTATCATGATATGAAATTGAGACTCTTTGGATAGAATTTCTTTCATACAAGCAAACTTTTGATTGATTGATTGTAGTTATATGTTCCTTTCAATTTTATTTCACTCCTATCAGAGGTCATCATATGCCAGTGAGGGGCTATATATTAAGACATTTACTCGGCACTCTGGGGCCATTAAGCTGTGAGGAATATTTATCGTGCCGGTGTAAAGAAGAAAAAAAACGAATTATGACCCCCGTAGAATAATGACCAGGGGTCATTATTTGACGTCAAAAATGACCCTTTGCCTGTAGAAAACGTGGCATCACTCTAAAAAAATGCAAATGGCATGGGATTCCGTTAGCCTTGAAACAGTCATAAACAGCTGGACACATAAAGGGTTGATTGATAAATATCGAAACAGAATAGGAAGAGAAAGTACTCAGGTACTAGCAAACATGAGAATGCATGTATTTTACGACAGGTTCATGAAGATCTAGACATGTACCCTGACACGTTACTTTCCATTCGTCAGTCATGACGCTTATCTAACCGAACTCTTAATTTAACTGATTCAAAAATTCTTCAGATGGTGAAATATTCTATGTACTTCCTATTCAGATGAAATTGACGATAAAACCTAAAACTTTTTTTTATACCGAGAGACTATAAATGCTATTGTCCCCGTTATCATCTGGTTATTGAACTCTTGGACCCATGACAAAAGAGTGAAAGAGCAGTAAATTGATGTTTCAATATTCTGACATTTTAGTCCAAATTCTTATAAACAAATACATGTAAATTAATGACTTTTTTTACGAAAGAAGGAAAGCTGTGCTTAAATGTATATGTATGTACACGTGCACAAGCATGACATTTGATTGAACTGCATAAAATTATGTATTCATTTTGTTTTGATTGGCTACGTCTGGGCTCATTGCATTGTAATTTATGACAGAACTCGTTATATTGCAACCCTCGCTGTATTGTCAAAATCTGTCATGGAAAAAAGTTATAAAAAGCAATATACCTAATAGCACTGTATATAGTTCCCAGTGCTTCAATAACACCATGTCGATTATTATTTTAAAAAGTATGCATTTATTACGAACTCAAGTTGCAAAATTTGTTTTGATTTATACATGTATCACTAGAAAGTACTCAAAATTTACTTTCGGTACATGTAGGTTCCATCGGTTCATGTCGTTTATTAAGAAAATCGCAAAAGAATTTAAATGCTTTGCAAAAGTGTCCCACTAGCTAGCTAAATTCACGTCTGTCATTCTTAGAAGGCATGATTTTGGATTGTACACTTAAAATCCCCTCTCTTTATTGACGCATTTTTGTGCCCTTCTAACTTGTTGTAATAGTTGTAAAGCTGGAAGGGCACAACAATTCCTCAAAAAAAGAAAATGGAAATTAATGACATCAAAGTAAGCTATAAGACGTGAACTTCAGAGATAACTATTTCGTATTTCAAATATTTATAACTAAAGATTAATTTCAAGTCCTGTAAATGAATGGAAAGTTGCAAAACCTATCAAAAACTAAACAATATCATTAGTGGATGGTATAAATAACGAAATATTTGTCATGATGGTTAAATATCTAATCCATGACGTCATACCTTGATAAAATAATAAAACGCATCGAGAATCCATGTTGGAGTTAAAATGCATATACCGTATATATCATGTGTACGTGATTCCTAAGGAATTAAAAGATTTATATTCAGGCACCCTGATTTAATTTCATCATTTTATTTTCTTTCATGAAGAAACGCAATGTCTTGAAATCCCGTTCAGTCTTTTGTCTACCGTTCTTAACAAAAAAGATACAAAAGTTCATCACTAAGACGCAGACTTTGAAAGATACCTTTTGTCCATATTGAGTTCTATTATACTTTGAAAGTGTTGCTAGAATTTATGATAATCAAGAATTTATAGAATTCTACAATCTTGTATAGAATTTGAAAATTCTGGTTAAGGTTTCATGCGAAAATGTGGGATAATTAATTCTGTAACGGAAGAGTTGGATTCTTACAGCACTTTTCATGACCAAGAGATTTTTTGCATAATAATTATTTTTATAAACCGAAAAGCCCAAGGGGAGTTTTGAACTTTTTCATAAAGGCATATTTTCCCCCATTTTTAGACGGCACATATGATGTGCTTCTTTTAGCCTCAGACGCAGTGCCGTCTATAAGGTGGATAATAATAGTACAATGGTTTATCCTGGACTATGCTGATTTCTCAATGTAACCTTTTACAAAAAGTGTAAAATTGCCGAATAATGATCTGGGTGTTTCTGGAATTTACCTGCGTTACCTAAGTCTAAGTTTTTCAGCAGGAACAGTAAAGCGGGTCAGTAAGTGTGCACGAGTAAGTTTAACAGCACCGACTATAATTATCTGCACTTTTGTAAGTTTATCAGCAGTAAAAAGATCATTAATTGTTTTGCAGTAAACACAGTAGGTCTAGAGTAATTGTTTAAGTTTGTCAGTAAAAAAAAATTTGACTTCCTGTTCTAAAAATATATTTTGAAAATAATCGTTTCCCTACATATTTCAATGCACATTTTGATTTTTTATATAGTAAATTAATACCCGGTTGGTTATGCTTTGGTCAAACTTTTATCTGCACTATCTGAGGATGCTTGCAGGTCAATATGATTAACCATAATCATGCTTTATTGAAACTTTTTGTTTTCAAATATTATTCATACATTCAAATGTCAAGTTTTCAGCCCTTTTTGTGACCTAACCCACTTCTAGATGTCAAAACTGAAAGCAACTTTGTACTACATGAGGATGTTTGCATATGAAATTATTAACATGACAATGTTGTATATTGTAAGATTTTTTTAAATTTCTTTGCTATATATTCCAGTAGAACAAAATAAGACCCTCTGTTATGGCCCTATACCTTATTCATGGTTTCTATGATTTGAACAACAAGAAATTACGTAGTCTCAAAGGTTTCACGTTTCATCTCTTCTAACCGAAGGGTTACTTTTCGATCACAAAAGCCCAACCAAGCCTTCATCGCAGGTACATGTACATGTACCACAACCCCCCTCCCCCGAAAAAAATGCTTGCCATGCAAATATTTCATGTTAAGCTCCATTCACATGTTAGAACTTAATATGAAGAAAAAATGGAGATAAACAAATTTTTATCTTATTTTTATTTTTGAGTAGTAAATTAAAATAAAGATGTAATTGAAAGGTGCATGAGATTTATAATTATCTGAATAATTATTATATAATACTTAACCTAATACTAAATATAATACAAAACAAATTATTTTATTAAAATTAAGATTGGAAAAAGTTTCACTTTTGACATTGAAAAAAAAGAAAAGAAAAAGAAAATTGAAAAATTAAATCTCACTTAGTTCCAAATGATAACTGAGCAAGTACAGTTTATACTTGTTAATAGAAACGACAAACAAATTCATAACTATTAAAAGTAGTGTACGTAAGTTTATGTCAAAGGAAATTAGATATATATATATATATACAGATATAAAGATCCAGATCACATCGAAGAAAATGTGAACTTCTCTGTAGGTTTGAATTTTCTCTTTTCTTTCTTTTTGGTCTTGTTATTTTCTCCCTTTTCTTTCGTTTCAATACTTCTTGAGGTTTGCTTTTTCTGAAATAATGGTAAAAAAATCATTCTACAAACATATCATATATTATCCTTTTCGACACTTACCGGAAAAAAACAGATCTTCAACCTTTTTTTATTGACATGCTTTGATTGGACATATGTGGTAAACTTCAAGAAAAATCACAGTGGTCGGTGATAAATATGAAAAATATTCAAACATATAAAAACACAGAGAACCAGTAAAATATTAAGGCTTTCATTTCTTCTTCATGATGATTTACAATTCTCATATATACATGTATATATACATGCATATATATATATATATATATATATATATATATATATATATATATATATATATATATATATATATAATCATAATCATAATCATAATCATAATAACCAACAAAATAAGATAACGTCCATCTTTAAAAAATTTGATTGTATTGGCAAAGCTTCCATACTTTTCCTCAGTAATTGCATTAATCGCTGGTATCAATATTCGTGATGATGACTTTACTACAAAGTCAAGAAATTCTTCATAATTAAATAAACAAAAAGTTGAATGTTTTCATGAAGAAGATGTTCTGAAAAATCTTTCTATTTAAGCTTCATTTTTTTAAACTGCTTATTTAAAATTGTATACTGTTTTATTCCAGTTTAATTGGGTTTTTTAAGGAATATAACGGGAAAAAATTGATGAATGAAAAGTGTGTGTTAAAGATACAGAAGAAAAACCATGGAAAGAAACAAAGAAAAACTTACTGATGGCTAATGTCTTTCAAAAATTAAAAAAATATTATAAATGACTAGTATTCCTTAAGCTTCACTTCTTCCAAGTAATGTTTTCATTGTATGCATTTCGTAAAACATGTGATATTTGTAAAAGTAAAATATGTTTAGCCATGGATTTAAGTTTGCAAAGATCATCCATGAATTTAAGTTTGAAAAGATCATCGATCAATTGCATTTATTTCTGATGCGAAAATTTGCTCACCTTTTTGTTTTCCAAAGCGGTTTTTTTGATGCCATCTTTTATGGTAGATAAAGTAAAACAAACACTTTTAATCTTCTTATCAATATCACAGTTACACCAATCTCTGTCACTGATAGTTTTGTTCACTAGTTCGTCGAGTTGTTTGCTTTCTTTACACAGTTTGTTTATGTAGAAAGACATATCACTATAACTCTCAACGTTTTCTTCATCACGTAGATTGTATATTTCTATAAATCTGTCTATACCATGAATTATATCATATACTTCATTACAAAACTTGTCTTTGAATGTCTCGAATTCCTGACGCTTTCTGTGATGAGATTCACTTGCTTCATGTTCGCCTTTATTTTCAGGATCTGGGATATTTCTTTTATCATCGCACTTGAGCAAGATTCGGAATGGATTATCTTGTGTTTCATTATCTACAATGGATTTGTTCTCTTCAGAAAAAGTGCTGTTGATGTCCTCTTGCATTTCACATGATTTCTCATTCTCTCCTCGGTTTTGTCTCTCATATAGAATGATTTCATCTCTTTTTGTTTTATTAACAGTACCCTTTAGGGGCACTTTACAAACTCTACACATTGTTGCTTCCATTTCTAAACAGCTAAACCGCTTTTCAATTTCAATACTTTTTTCTCTGAATATTTGTTCTCTGAGGTGTTTATTTAGCTCAGGAACTTTTTTGTTGAAGATGAAATTTCTCCAGGAGCGGATAATGACAGCTGAAGCAATGTCTTCGTTTGATCTTTTTTGTTCCTTCTCATCCTTACTTTTATCACATTGCTCGAAATCTTTGTCCTCTCTCACATCTTTCATTACCATTTCACTACCAGACTCTGTTATGTGGTCAGATTTAAGATTTCTTGTTAATGAAATGTTAATCTCCTCTTCAGAAACACCACCACGATTTGGAATGTCTTGTGACTCTAATTTTTCTCCACTGGCTTCAAATTCAACATCTTGGTTTTCGAAATATGCTATTGGATTTTTAATAATTCTTACTGTTTCGTAACTCAGGAACTTGTGTCTGTATTTTGTATCATCAAATGAGGCCTTAGAAAACATTCTTCTCTGGTCATGCAGGTATGTATAAATTCTAAGGTTGTCATGTTTCCTTTGCAGAATTATATTCAAAAGAGCATCTTGGAAATTACCTGGACGAGGTTCGTGTTTATTTCTCAAAATTGTTAAGGCTTTCTTCACTTGCTCTGGAATATTTTTATTCCATCTTCCAAAGCAAAGTTTGAATGCCATCTCTTCCTCTATATCCCTTGAACAATGGAATTTTCTTCTTAGATTGCAGAAAATGACTAGACTTGATATAAGTATTCTTTGAGATAATGTACCGAGTGGAATCTTTTTCGCTCTAGAGTCATTCTTTTGTAAAAATAGTAAATCTAGTAGACTTGTTTTGCCTTTAGTCCCACAAAGGAGTCTTGAGAGACAAGCAGGTGTTTTCAAAAGTTCTTTTTCGTAATTTTTTAGTAGTAGCTTATTGCATATCTTTGGAATAAGATCATCTTCCTTAGAAAATGTCACGTACAAAGCCTTAGCATTGTATTCAAACGATTCTGGTATACAAACTTCTTTCAAATCATTGTTTGGCTTTGACAATAGAACAGTAATTGACACAAGTGATATAGTGATATAAAACTCTACCCAGTATAAAAATTGCGAAAGGTGAGAATCCAATTTGGCATTTCTTTCACTCAATTCGTCACAAAACCTACAGAATGCAATTAACGCTTCTATCGGTTTTTGGGATTTGATAAGCATTTGGGAGAAAATCATTTTATTACAGATTGAGGTGATCTCTAAGTTCTTTCCAACATCTTGCGAAACTTCAAATCCACAGTTTTCTATTTTGTCAATTTTATGTTCAACATTACCAACGGATGGTGTCAAATCACGTCTTACTGTTTCCTCTATGTCTCTCAGGGCTCTTTCGGGATTCTCACATCTTCTTAAATCAAGAATGTCATAACAAAATATATAGCAAAGAAATCTTGGTACATGATTCTCCATCCAGTCCACCCTGTAATTGCCAATCAGATTTTGTAAAAATCTTGTAAAGGAACGATGGAAGAATCTATTACCTGGCTTTCGAATGGTATCAAGAAGTTTTACTCTTTTTATTGGTTCAATAGGTCCTAACGCTGATATTCCTTCATCTGGAAAAATATCTATTATCAAACGCTCGCACTTATCGAACGAAATTTGTTCAAGATTTCCAAAGTTCAGGTTTGAATCATGTTTTCTCTTTCCAATCTCCTCAGAACCAACACTTATATGCATTTCAAGCTCCACTGTTTGTATTCCATTTTCCAAAATGCCCGCAAACACATCTGCATTCCAACTTTCCTTGAATGTTTCAGAGAGCTCGTATCTTGCTTTATTCAGAGTTTCTTCCAATTCTGCTTTCCATTTTATGCCATTGTTAATAAGAAATTGAAGAATATCTTTTCTAACTGTTTTTGATGGCACTTTACAAACATGTTTTGTTCTTTCCAGGCCTTCAGTAATGTCTAGAGCCATTGGTCTTTGAAGCGGATACACAAGACAAGTTGTGTCAACGAAAGATCCGTGGAATCCATAATATTCAAGTATTTCACCATACTGTAGTCTTTCAGAGTCATTAATGGGTCTCAACACGATGTTAACAGCTTTGAAAAAAGTTTCCATACCCAAGATACATTTTGCTATATTTCCATGAACGTTCAGATTAGTATTGAAGGTCATCCAATGCATACATTCTAGCTGACCTGCAAGACTTGGATTTGGCTCACTATTAACAAAAGCACCAAAAGCTTTTTTCACAAATTCTTTGTCATTCTTTAGCTTACCAACAATTAATGCCGCATTCCCTGCTAAGATTTTATCTTTGGAGTCTTGCATAGCGTAAAATACTTCTTTTAACTTTTGACACATTTTGTTTTTCTCAGTATTATCCAAGATTGAAAAATCATGTACTTTTGAGAGTTTTATGTTGTAGTAAAGAATGTAGCATCTATTCCTCAAAGTACCATCCAAATTTTCTGCAATTTCTAAAGCCTCGTCTGCCATTCCTTGCTTCATATAAAAGTCAACGAGACGATCAGGTCCATCTCTGTCTAAAATATGATTAACAAAGTAGATAATTTAAAAAATCCCAATAGGTAAAACATTAACGCTCTTGCAATGTTGTATATTATATGCAATCAGTAAATAAAACTGAAAATGAGAAGTTGTTTTAAATTTTCTTGTGATCATACAACAGGATCACCCTATCATGATTATATGATAAATAAATGTCAGTTATATCATTATAGAAAAATAAACTTAAAATGGTTCTGTGTCAACAAAATAATTTTTCATACAAATTCACAGTGATATAATTGAAATACCGTGTTAAAGTAGCGGATGGAAATCAAAATTAATACCAAGGCAAAGCAAAACATATCTAGCATATTATTGTTCTTAAATGAATCAAATCATTATAAGCTCACCTGAACTAAAAGCTGACCTTTTCTCTGATCACATCTTGTCCGTCGTCCGTCTGTGCGTCCGTCTGTAAACTTTTCGCATTTTCGACTTCTTCTCCAGAACCACTGGGCCAATTTCAACCCAACTTGCCACAAAGCATCTTTGGGTAAAGGGGATTCAAGTTTTTTTTCAAATGAAGGGTCATTATCTTTATCAAGGGAAGATAATTAAGAATTAATGAAATTGTTGGTATCTTTTTAATTTTCTTCTCAAGAACCAAAGGGCCAAAACAGTTGAAACTTATATGAAAGCTTCTTTATATAGATTCAAATTTGTTCAAATCATGACCCCTGGAGGAAGGGTGGGACCACAATGGGGGATCAAAGTTAAACATACGAAATATAGAAAAATAAATCTTCAACAACCTTCTTCTCAAAAACAGCAAAGCCACTATAAGTCATATTAATATGGAAGCATCTTCAGATAGTGTAGATTAAGTTTGTTCAAATCATGGCCACTGGGGGAAGGGTGGGCCACAATGGGGGATCAAAGTTAAAAATAGGAAAATATATAAAAAAAAATCTTTAAAAAACTTTTTCTCAAGAACAGCAAAGCCAATATTAGTCATATGGATATAGAAGCATCCTCAGGTAGTGTAGATTCAAGTTTGTTTAAATCATGACCCCTGGGGTTAGGTTGTGATACCAATTAGGGATCAAATTTTTACATAAGTATTTATGGGAAAGGATATTCAAAAAACTTCTTCTCAAGAACAGCAAAGCCATGTTTAGTCATGAGTTGATTTGAAAGCATCCTCAGGTAGTGTAGATTCAAGTTTGTTTGTTTGTTTGTTTGTTTTTTTTTTTTTTTGTTTTTTTTTTTTTTTTTTTTTTTGATATTATGACTGGGGGTAGGATGGGTCAAAGTTTTACATAGCAATATATAGGAAAAAATTTCAAAAATCTTAAACAAAACCATGTTTAGTCTTGTTGATGTGGAAACATCCTCAGGCAGTGCAGTTTCAAGTTTGTTCAAATCATGACCCCCTGGGGTAGAATGGGGCCTCAATGTACTACCAGAGTTTAATATATGGATGTTTGGGGGGGATTCTTAAATCTTTTTCTCAAGAACACCAAAACCATGTTTAGTAAAATTGATATGGAAGTATCTTGAGGTAGTGTAGATTCAAGTTTGTTCAAATCATGTCCCTGGGGGATAGGGTGGGGCTCCAGCTATAAAAATCATGACACCTGGGAGTAGGTGGGGTTAAAATAGGGATCAAAGTTTTACTTAGGAATGTATATAGCAATCTGCAATAAAGAACAGCATGGCCATATTGACTTAGGTAAGCGTTGTGGCCCATGGGCATCTTGTTGCCAAATAATCTTGTCCATTTATTTTTAACACTTAGTTTTTTTAATTTATTCCACGGAAGGCTAAAACGTACCTGATGATTTTAGTATGGAAATTGCCTGTTCAGTGCGATCACGAAGAGCTAAGAACTCTATCTTATCATCTAAATCTGGAAGTTGGTGAAGGAAAGACATCATTTTCTCTACCTTGCCATGCTTGTGATAAAAGTCTGCTGCCTTGAAGCTCAGTTGGATTTCTGTTTGATAAGCGGTTGGAGAGTTGTCTAGAAAACGCCATGGGAATGGTTCGTTTTTCGCTTCGTACTTCTTATAAAGATGAAAATAAAGTTAATATCAATAAAACTCTACTCGAATACATGTCATCAGCCTAAAAAATAGTTTTAACTAAAAAAAAAGAAACATTAATTAATTTACAATAACGTTTATCTTTCAATAATAGTCAGATCATATTATGTCTGAAATTTCATGGAATTCATAATTAAAAATAATCTATGCAAAATAGCATCCGAATCGAATAAACCACCTGTGATAGCTAAAATGAAATGAAATATGGTGATGAGGAAAGTAATCAAGCTCAAAAGTCCTTTAAAACAATACAAATCGGCAGCAGATCTAGAGCAAACACGGACCTCTAAAAACATCAGAGGTGGGATCAAGTGCAATAGAGAAGTAAGCATCCCCTGTCGACACGCCGTGTGTTTTTTGTCATGATTATACAAACAGAAAAATTCGTAGACAATTCAGTGTGTAAATAAAAGCCTAACAATTAGCATGTAACATATTAGTTAACATTCAACTTTATGATTGTGTTTGTTGTCAAGGTCAAACAATATACTTTAAACTCTATTGTTTGGCTTCTTCTATATATATTGAATTAAAAAAAGTTAGGAATCATGGCATTTGCAGAAATTGATTTTTAATATGAACAAAATTTTGCTATAGTTAACAATAAAAAAAATAATTGTTTATAAGCATTTCAAAGTTGCATAGCTCTTTAAAAAATTCTTATTGAAATTTGAGGAGTTTGATCCTAATCATCTGTCATTGCAGATGTAAGCCCATTGAGGTGTATAAGGTTGACGAACTGACAATAAACGGCAAATCTGATTATTCTTAAAAACTACAGTGTTACAAGGAGCGCATGTGTTGCCTGCTTTAAAGCATCGTTGAAGATCTAATTTAAAATAACTCTAAGAGTGGTCAGTTATATATCTGCTACTAATATTATATTTCATTTTGCATTGTTTTTGTATGCAAAGAAAATATACAAGGATAGAAAGACTTCGATAGAATATAAAATGTGACAATGAAATAAAATGATTCCCGACTCTCTAGGACATAATGAATGATGAAATTTTTTTTTTTTTTTTTTTTTTTCTTTTTTTTTTTTTTTTTTTTTTTTGGTCATATTATCTATTGTTTATTTCACAATTCTTAGAGAGACTTCAGTCTGTCTTCACTGCAATTTTCAGTCTACAACTTTATTTGAAGTGCGATCCACTTTGGGATATCGCTCCGATGTATTTTCATAGTATTTGAATTCTATTTCGTGTGGTAATTGTTTATAATACAGATTCAAAGTACAGTGTCACGCACTCATAAACATGAGGTATATGCTAGTTATCTAAATTCTGCCTCTCCAAATTCAGAAGACAGTTTTAAAATTAATGGTTCAAAGTATTTTTGTCAAAAGAAGTCAAAGTTCAAGGTCAAGTGGTCTGTCACGCTCGTATTTTTTGATAATATCTAATGACAAATAGTACACATGCTAAATAGTAGAGACCCTCCTTGTAAATGTAAAGTAAATAAGTTGTATATCGGCTCTATATAATATTTTGAAAAGTAGGTCAAAGGTCAAGTCCAAAGATTAAGAAGTCGATAACCATGGTATTTTACAAAAGCCATAGGGCCAATTGATATATTGCAAAATACCATCCTTTTAGAGATGTAAGGTGTGACAGACGCACGGACAGACGGACAAACAGATACATGTATATGCCAGGTAAACAGCACTCGACACAAAAACATGATTCCTGCATTTTTGGTCACGCGGATATGTTAAGGCAGTACCCAGATCATTTTTTTGGCGAATTTAGACTTTTTCCGTAAAATTTAACATTGATAAATCGGAAAAGCCATAGATAAAACGTTTACTATTATCATCCATTGTATAGACGTCATTGAGTCCTAGGCTAAAAGAAGCACTCCACTATGACGTCATCACGTGACATCTATAAATAGAAAACTTGCCTTAACGAAAAAGTGAAAAGTTCAACACTACCCCGGGGATAATTCATTTCTTTTTGTGACAATAATCATGTAAAAACATCACTGGGTTATGAGAAGTGCTGCTAGAATCCTACTCTCTCGACACAGAAAAAAATATTCCAAAGTTTCGCATGAAACCTTACCAAAAAATTTTAATTTGTCATCAATTCATGTTAACCATACGGTTCTAGCAGCACTTTCCAAATATTATTGCATACAAACTTTCGATACAAACAAAAATTATGTTTCGAAGTATGCGGCATAGTGTTGAACTTTTGCATTTTTGTTGTTATAGAACGACAGAAGAAAGCCTCATAGCGATTTCAAAACACTGCTTGTGTTCATTTTAAGAAAACATGGTTAGGATAAATTAGCGTACCTGATTCTTAATCTTTAATTCCTTATGAATCACACATGACATCCACGGTATATGCTTTAAAACTCCCATTACATATATTTGTTAACACGAATTCTCGTCACGTTTAGATTCACTCGGCAAATATTTGATCAATAGTTATGACGTCATGGGTCCCTTAACCTAGCTTTTTATACCACCCAAAACAACCAGATTTAATCTATATTATGTTTTTGAATGATTTCAATTATTTCTTGGACCTGAAATTAAACTTTAAATACAGATATGCAGAAATGATTATCTCTAAAGTTCACGTCATACAGCTTACTATGACGTCATATTGTATAGGCATGTAGGGTATCTGGGTGTAGCCTTAACATACCCACGCGAGAGTAGGTACCGTGTCTGACAAAAGACTTAGCATTGTAAGAAAGGATAATTATTTTCCTTTTCCGATTTTGCTATTATTTAGAAGAAAAATTCTATTATTCCCGGAATAAACATTCATATTACATTTCTAGTTAAATATGTTAAAAAATACATGTCTTTGGTTGATAACAGGTATTAGTTTTAAAAAAAATAAAGATCTGCATCATTACCTTTTTCTCAATCCTAAACCTTCTCAGACAATGAATTGCAGATTCAAAGAGTTCAGCGTCACAGAGAAGGGTAATTGCTTGTTTATATTTTCCTGCTAGCTCCAAACATCTGCTTCCTTCTACTGGTAAACGCATTTTTTGATATATTTCTGCCGCCTTCTCAAACTAAAAATGTACACATTATAATCAATAAATATTGGTCATAAATCGGTGTAATTATGAAGAGACTACTGAGATACTATGAAAGGAAACACATTTTTTTTTTACATAACTTAACATATTTCATCTACTCTAAGGACGAACTAATTTTTTTCTTTCCATGGTCAAAAGAGCTCTCACAACAATGATTTATTCAAATACGGATGCTAAAATTAGTGACACACATTATTAGGTCGTTCAACCCTTCTAGTGGAAAAAAAACCACTGCAAATGCTTATGTTTATTATTTTTTTTCTTTTATTGTCTTTTGAACAGAGAGACTTATCGAAAAACTGAATAATGCATGATATTGGACAATTTAACCCAACAAGTGTGACCTATGACCCCTTTCAGAGTTACTACCTTTTGCACGAAAAGCCTTGTTACATGTACCGCTACTCCCCAGAACATGTAAACGAAATATATATCAAGTCTTCTACAATGTCTTTGACTTATATAGAAGGCACTTTAATCTATTCGATGCAAATTACATGTATTTCTCCGATCCATTTTATTAGTAAATGCTCCTGAAGTTTTTGATGTGTACAAATTATTAATCTTTTGATAGTAATGAATACTACAGAACTGGGACCAACTGCACTAGATTCCTCAACATTAGACCTTGAAATTTAGGTCAAGATAAAGTGGTAAATTTCGAGGTCATAAAGAATATAAGAATTTTTTTTTTTTTTTTTTTTTTTTTTTTTTTTGTCTTTCAACAAATTTTTAATATCATTGCACGATTAATTTGCCCTTTTAATACCAATTATAATTTCTTTTCTATAGCCCTTAATCTGACCCCTTTCAAAGTGATTGCCCCTTTCACCAAAAACCTTGTATCGCTACTCCTCTGAAAGCGTAAACCATAGCGACACCAAACCTTCACTGAAGTCTTTAGTTTTTCAAGACAAAGAAACAATGTATAAGTGCGAAAGGATCTGATGATCCCTTTTACACGTTATTGCCCATTTATGTCTTTGTGCTTATCCTTAAATCCTAAAACTTTTAAAGAAATAATAACTGTTGTAGAAGCACAGGACTGACTGTAATATGATCTTTAACCATTGGCCTTGAATACGTGATCAGGAACAAAGGTCTAGGTCACTTTATTTCCTTCAAAATTTTCATTTTTCCAAACATTTACTCATTTCTTTTTTTCCAATGAAATTAAGCTGAAGAGATTTGATATCAAAAATAAATTTCAAAGAAAGTGGAAAGACCTCTAATTGTTATTTGAACAATAACTCTTCTATTCGAGGAATAAGTTATTTTAACTTGCGAATTAAAATTGTATATTTCATATAAATCACACGTTTTTGAATGCTATAACCACACATGTATATAGTAGATTTAACTTTTTTGAAATGAATATAATGGATTTATGAATCGATATTGCTTATCTATTTAAGCTAGCGACAACCCCAGGCATCCTAAAAATAAGAAATTGATATCTGTTTCCAATTTTTCAAACTTTAAAATCATTCACTGACATGTTGATATCAAATGTTACCAGAAATAATAAATTTTGCAACAGGAAGCAGATTAGACATATTTTTTCTTGTTTAATTGAGTCATTCAAGTGATCTATTGCTATCTGTTTTTGTCTGTCGTCGTTCGTAGTGCGTTATCATTTGAACATTTTCAGCTTCTTTTGAACGACGGAACCAGTTTCAACAATTTTACGGTATAAAACATTTATGGGTGAAAGTGAACAAAACATTTTCATGGTTCCTTCCCAACTCCAACCCCCGGGCTTGGGGGAGGGATTAAATTGATGAAAATTAATGCAATCATTAAAAAAACTTCTCTCTTCAGGGACATTCAGTAGTCGAATTGTTTGCATGATTGTAATTAACATTACGCCTTCTACCAAAATTGTGAAATGCATTGCCCCTGGGTCAGGGTTCTGGTGCTAGCACAGGATGAAACCCTGTCCTTCAGTAAACTGAAAGGTGACTGAATGTCAGAACTCTGCCATTCAGTCACCTTTCCAGACCTTTCATCGACAATTCAGTTAACTGAAAGGTGCAGTTTTATCCTATGTAGGACGGGGTTCTATAGATCATATTGTGTAAGTGCATTATTTCTTTGAACATTTTCATGTCTGTTCTTGGGTATTAATCAAACACACTAAGTGCATAGTTATGATAAGAAAGGTCGTCTCTTCCAGAGTTGTGAATTTCATGGCCCTGGGTCAGAGGTTCTAACGTTAAGGTGGGACTCTATAAATAATTTAGCGAAAATTGTATTAATTCTTTGAAAATATTCTTCTCTGCTCCTGGGTATTTAGTAGATACACTAAGTGCACTATTATGATGAGCAAGAATATTTCTTTCAAAATTGTGAAATTTGTGGCTCCAGGGTCAGGGATTCTGTTGAAAGGGGAGGGGTATGTAGATCATATAGTGCAAATGTATTATTTCTATGGAATGTTTCTTCTCTGTTCCTGGGTATTAAGCCAAAAAATAAAGTAAAAAGTTATGATGAGCAAATTTGCCTCTTCAAAAATTTTAGATATCAAGGCATCTGGGCCAGGAGTTTTGCTGTCAGGGTGGGACTCAATTGATTATATAGTGAAAATGCATTTATTCTATAAAAAAAACTTCTGTGCTACTGGTTATTTAGCAGATAAACATAGTGCATATTTATTATGATAAGCATAAAGATTTCTCCCTATATTTGGGAATTTGTGGCCTCAAGGTGTAGGGTTCTGCTGTTTGGGGGAGGGGCTCAATAAATCATACAGTGAAAATCCATTATTTCTTTGTAAAGCTTCTTTGCTTTTTGGTATTAAACAAACAAATTATCTGCATAGTTCTGAAGCAAGGATGTCTCTTTTAAAATTGTGAATATCATGGCCTTTGGATAAGGTATCTGATGTGAAATTGGGCTCTATTGATTATACAGTGAAAATACATTAATCCTTTTAAATTCTATGATGAGCAGGAATGTTTCTTCCACATTTGTAAAATTTGTGGCCCTAGGGACAGGGGTTCTGGTGTTGGGGGGGGGGGGGGGCTGTATTGATTTTATAGTGAAAATGTATTACTTCTTTGAAAATCCTCTCTCCTCATGGGCATATAAGAGAAAAACATTGTACAAAATTGTAATAAGCGAGGGGTATTTTTACAAGATTTTTATACCCGCACTTTCTTTTAGAAAAAACGGGTATATTGATGTTTTTCTGGTGCGTCCGTCCGTCTGTCACACTTTCTTCTTCCTCAAATTCCTCTTTTATTTTAAGCAGGAAACAATTCATATTTTGGAATATGATTGGAGGTGTCCCGTAGATGTACAAGAAGTATTTGGAATTTTCAATTATACCCTGGGGGCATTATGTGGGTCAAATAATGTTTTTTTTCTACAAGAACCTGGTTGCCAGAACTCCTTTTACATTATACGCAGTAGCCTAATCATCTTTTGGAAGATGATTGGTGGTGTCCTGTAGATGTGCAATAAGGTTTCGGAATTTTCATTTTCACTCTGGGGGTCAAATGGGGTCGAAAAATGACGTTTTTATACAAAAACCCTGATTACCAGAACTCCTATTATATTTTACAGAGTAGCCTAATCATCTTTTGGACGATGATTGGTGGTGTCCGTAGATGTGCATTAATGTTTCAGAATTTTCATTTTCACACTTGTGGTCAAATGGGCATCAAATTGGTGTCGAAAATGATGCTTTTCTACTATAACTTGGTTCACTTGATTCCCTGAACTCCTTTCCCAGGACTCCTCTTACATTTTACGCAGTAGCCTAATAATTTTTCGGAAGATGATCGGTGGTGTCCTGTAGATGAGCAATAAGATTTCGGAAATTTCATTTTCGCCCTCGGGGGTAAAAAAAAAAATGACGTTTTTTTCTGCAAAAAAATCCTGGTTTCCAGATTTCAATATATGATTTCGAAGTTATCACGAATAATTGGATATCTCAAAGTTCAATAATGGTCACATCTAGTTCGAGATAATGAGATTTGACCGTATCTATTTTAGTAACCATGGCAACACTGTTCAAGGAAATCAATAAATAGATAAACAGAATTGTGTATCTTAGTAATTGTACTAGTGCAGTCTTATTGAAATTGGATTAAAAGTGTAGGAGGTTTTTTTGTAGTGTTCAGAAAGAACAATTTTCATTCTACACTATGTAATGAAGCTTTCACATAAGTTTCCACATTTCTTGTCCAGTGGTTCTTGAGAAAAAGATTTTAAAGATTTTGTCCTATATGTTTCCATGTAAAACTTTGATTGACTCTTGTGGCCCAATCCTTCACTGGGGATCATGATTTGGACAAAATTGAATCTACACATTGTATTGAAGCTTTCACATTTCTGACTCAGTGGTTCTTGAGGAGAGGATTTTTGAATTTTTCTCTCATTTTTACCTCTCCTTAAAAGAGGGATTGTTCCTTCATTTGAACAAACTTAAATCTCCTTTACCAAATGATACTTTGAGACAATTTTTTTTTCTAATTGACCCTGCAATTGTTGCGAAGTAGATGATATTGTAAAAACTTTATGACAAAGATATCAACGACTGAGATTTTGATCAGAAAAGCTCACTTGAGTCTTAAGCTCACATGAGCTAAAAGTAAGAGGGGGAGGGGGTTTTAGGGATAACCCTAGAGCACTTGCCCAACATAATTCTCAATGCATAACTCTTCCTAAAATTTTGGATGCATAAGATATGTTGAAAAACTTTTCCCAAGTACCATGAAATTTGGTACTGAGCAAACGAAGGGAAATAAATCGATGCAAGGGGAAAAGTTTAACAACATATAAAATATAGCATGTTTTACATGAGAAATGAACTCCTTACTTTTCTATTTATTTTATCACACCTCTAGTGTGACTACGGGTCATGATCTATATACTGTTAAATGTGTCATGACACAGAGATGCAAACAAGATTGGTTTTGTATAAAGGTTTCAACTGTTTTGAGATATTTGGCCATTTCCAGTTGGGGGGGGGGGGGGGTTGGGTTGACCTCCAGGAGTCATGACCTGTATTATTTTTCATGTGTCATGACAAAAAGACGAAGATTATATATGGTTAAGAGTAAATTTTTAAACCTTAAATGTTTTTGACTGTTTTCAGTTTCAGGGGGTGGAAATTGCCTCTAAGAGTCATGACCTATATACCATTTTATGTGTCATGACACAAAGTTATATATCTGGTTTTGGGAAAAAATTTCATTTTCGATACTTACCTGATTTCAGTCTCCCATTCTGAGTTGTCGTTAATTCCTCTCTCAGACATACGGTGAAAGTATGACTATGACCTTATGGTAGAGAGTAACCTTTTGTTAGCTAGTCCATAAATCCATTTAAATCAATATAAAACATGATTCGTGTTTGCTCTGCTCCTATTTTGTATTGTTTAATGGAGTTTTGATCTTGAATACTGTTCGTTATCTCCATATATTTCATGATTCAAGTTCCTCCTTAACACCACAAAATAATAATCCGCCGTGTAAGTAACACACATACCATTTGCAAATCAAAGAGCACGGTTAAACAAGTACCCCTGGTGTAATTCTGGAAGGGTGCTTATAACTTCGGAAGGTTGCAAAAAAAGTCATCTAGAAATTTTCGAAAGAGGGGTAGTTGGGACAAATATGACAGGAAAACAAATAAATATGGAAAGGAACCTCCCTCTCAATCATATTCTGAAATAAAACATAACCAAAAAATTTTGGACGCCGTCACGGTACATATAGCTCAGTCGGTAGAGCGCTCGCCCTGTGATCGGAGGGTCGAATCAAGGCTGCAACTGACCTAAGTAGATAAAAAATAGGTAGCCACTGTTCCTTCGCCAAGTGCTGGGCAGTTTGAAGTGAAAGTTGCGGGTCCTTTGGATGAGACCTTAAAAACCGAGCCCCCCCCCCCCATCAAGGAAGGTGTTGGCACCATAAAGAACCCTCACTACTTAATGACCCTTAGTGCTGAGTAAATGTCTAAATTAGAAGCCCTTTACCGGTATATGATGACGTCTCTGTATGAGTGAAAAATTTTCGAACTGGACGTAGTACAAGATACAATCAATCAATCAATCAATCAATTTCTGTCTGGTAATGAATTTATTATTGAAATATTAACACGAGAGGCCTATTGGCCACATGCTATCCTCTGCATTTTTTGATCAATTATTACATGAATATACAGTCCCTGAAACGTTCTACTTTCCCACTTGAACGGTAAGCGAACGCTGAACGAACGGTGAACGAACGCTGAACGAACGCAGAGCGAACGGTGAGTGAACGATGTGTGAACGCTGAACGCAACTTGGTGAACGATGTGTGAACGGTGAACGGTGAGCGAACGCAGAACGCGAACGGAGCGCAAACGCGAACGCGAAGTGAACGGGGAACGAACGGTGAACGCAAGATGAATGATATATTCGGAATGCCTCTGATATTTTCCCTGCATTGAAACTATTTTATTGTATTAAAATGTCAGGTGCCAAAAAAAAAATAATAATAAATAAATAAATAAGTAAACCAATAAATGAATGAATAAATAAGTCAATAAATAGATTCTCCAAAATGGTCCTTAGAAAGACGATGCATGCACATTAAGTTTTTAATCACATGATTCTTATCGCATTAAAACATTGCAAGTGTTGCCGAACGCTGAAGTATAAACAAATCAGAGAAAACTTCTGACTTATAGAATGAATTAAAGCGGCTGTAACATCCATTCATATCTCTCCGTGTCAGGGCGATTTCGTGTAAAGTAATGAAAAAAAAAATAATTACAAAGGTCAGTGGACGTTTTGCATTTATACGCTCGTATTTTAAATTTTTAATACAATAATACATTATGTGTCATTTCTATTTTTCATGATGATTTATTGAGCAGACTTCTACATGTATATGTAGATGACCGTGGTTATACTCGGACAAGATAATACAAAGATACATATTCATATTATTTGTTATAAATTCAATTTTCCGAACTTGATATTTATGTAGTATGCTGTTATAGTTTTTATTAATTATTATTATTTTATTTCCTTTAACCACACTATCAAGTTAATTCGCCCCAAAGATAATAAATTAACAGGATATCCGCAGTACTATGTATAACTCTCAGAACTAGTTCTATCATATTTTCTGTAGTAATTGAAAAAAAAAAAAAGCGTGACTGTTTGAAATAAATATTTTCGTAATTTTGCTGCGTAATTATTTGACTTAGATACATATGTAATTATGTCACCATTAACTATTTGTCGTCTTTAACAAAATAACAAAATGTTGCAGTGCTTGAAGTATTTGCACATTGCCCTTAGTTATATTTAATATTTCAGCATCGTTCTACATAGGTACAGAATGTGCTTACAACAACATTTATTTTCCAGAGTAATTTAATAAATAACCTAACAGCTAAGTTAGAATAATAAAAAAATATATATCGTATAGATACTTTTCAACATGAAATAATGATTCTTCAAACACGATATGTTAGTTATTAAATTAAAAAAACCTGTAACGCATTCCCTACAAAAAGATAAGTCCTTTCACTTCGAAGTTCCGAATGACAATGAAAACTGAACGATAGGTGACCGCTGAACGCAAGGTGAACGCAAAGTGAACGGAACGAAGAGCGAACGGTGAACGCAAGCGCACGGTGAACGGTGAACGCAAAACTGTGAACGGAGAGCGAACGGTGAACGCACGGTGAACGAACGGTGAACGCACGCTGAACGAACGGTGAACGAACGGTGAGCGAACGGAAAAATGGGAAAGTAGAACGTTTCAGGGACTGTATTAGGTAGAAGGTAAAAGTACATTTAGAGACAAACACTCATGTGCGGATATTACTGTCTTATGACAGCATCTAGTTTAAATTTTTGACCACCTGGTCAAGTGTTTTAGAGCTGAGCAAGACTTTATTAATATGTATTCTTCTGGAAGTAGAAAAGTTATTTCCCTTTGCTATTCACCTATGTTAATTAATCACAGTATATAATTCATTGATACATATGCATGTAGATCAATTGAATAAGAGAAGTATAGAAGAACTTTATTGTAAAATACAAAAAGTAGTTTCATAGTTTCAATGATTAGATAGACTTATAAAAAAATAGATAAATAAAAATGAGACAAAACAACTAGTCTTATTAAATGACCGAGAAAGGCCAATGCAGTGCGAGAGGGAATCAGACAGGGTTAGCAATAGCGCTTATAATAAGCACAACTTCTATGTTAAGTCTGCATGGTGATAGTGTTTTGTTACTGAGTACTAAACATGCATGTTGGGCAACATACTTCCTCTATCAGTTTATTTTGTTTTATTTTATACATGTACTTGTATGGATACTGAACATTGTTGTACTATACTAAGGTAACGTTAAGGCCCTTGGGGATCTTGTATAATTTTCTCATCTTATACTGTAAAAACACAACTTGCAGTAGGATGTTACTGTAGTGATGTTTATGTTTTTAGATCATTTTACCTGATTTGTCTTTTCGTAAAGTTTGGCAGCTATACGAAGTTCTTTTGCAAGTTCCAGACATCTACCCGCCATGGTTGGGACTTCACACTCAAGGAAGTCATGAGCAGCAGAAAGAAACATCTCTTTAATTAGTGCTGTACTACCCTGCATTCTTAAATTAAAAAGTCACAAGGTCTGAGATAAAATTAAAAACAAATTACACAAACAAGTTTCATGGACGACGTTACCTAATGTTCTTTCTAAAGGAAAAAAAAGATAAAAAGTGCTCCTAACTCAGCATAACGATAGTATTTCAACTATTTTTGCTTACATTTTTTGTACTAATACCGTGCTACATAATTTTTTAAGTTACCTAGGAAGTTTATTCTTTTTTTTACTTATACTTAAATAAATCTTTCTACCATTAGATGTTTTGTTTGTGACACAGAAGTAGCTGACTTAAAACAAATTTTAGCAAGGGCAAATGTTCATAATGTTTTTTTTTTTTTTTTTTTAATCATACACCTGTGCAGGGTAAAGTTAATTTAAACTAATTAATTAAATTCATATTGTAACACATTACCGACCTTATGTTTATAATTTTAAAAATAATTTCTGAAACGATATTGCAGATTCCTTGAAAATCCAACAGAGTTCGATTCTCGTTACGTTATAACGCGTGCTTTGTTTCCTGTCCGCAAGAAATAAAATAATCATGGGAGCGAATAGGGATGAAACTTTATGAAAATTAGTAATTTGGAATGTGAAAGAACTGATAAAGTCTGGAGGAACTTATATGTAAAGATTTGGATAAAGATTTAATTGTACATTTTTTTTGTTATATGTTCTGTTGGTCAGCTACCACTTCACTGCACTTGCACTGGTTGCAAAAACATTGTAAATTATTCACAAATTCAGAATAAAATGTGACGGAATAAACATTTATTTAGATCTTTGAAATAATTCAAAGAACAATGTAGATGCAATACTTTATCACTTTAATTCTGAATTGTTATTTGTGTAGGCCACACTGTAACTCAAAAAGGGGATTATTTTGTATTTGTGTACTTCATTTTTTTTCGGATGAAAATAAATTGATTATTTTTTGTTCAAAACTGATTGGCAGACTTATGCACCATATATTAAATCAAATGGAGATTGTGGATTTCAAATAAATTTCTTTTGTATTTACTTTGACGCAAGAAATGCTTTTTGGTGACTTTTTGCAATTTTCTCCATCCTAGGTTCATTTCCTAGACGGAAGCACTTTGCAGCAACATCGTAGAGGGACTTTTTCATAAACTCTTCGCCACGAAGTAACCAATCGTCAGTTGTCGACTCCTCAGCAAACATCAGGTCACCTGTGAAATATGTAAACAACCTGGATAAAATAACCCTTGAAGGGATGAAGGACACGTGGACACATGACCCAGTTTAACTACGTCATAGTCTCTGATAATATAAGTGCAAACTTGATTTAAATCATCAGTACATATATATTCTTTTAAAATTTCTTTTATATTAACATCTTATATAAAAATATTAAAAAGTTGTTAACTTTATTGTAAATATTAATAAGTTACGGAATAGACTGATCCACTCTTCTGTTTCCCTACACTGCGCGTCCAACAAGTCGGCGACGTCTTAGTACAACTTGATCATACTCGGTGGATACACGGGCAGTATTATAACATAAAACGGGTCATAATCAGCACATGGTGGGGTATTTTGTAAATAAGTGAATACAAAATGTATTTTTACATGGTTTTTGACAGAAATATTTTGTAGATCTATCTTATTTCGCTTATTTGGCTTATGTGTGACGTCATACATGTAGTTGGTTTTACCCGTACTCGAGAAACTTTAACATGACACTTTTTTACCATTGTTTAGAAACCTAATAATATAACTTTTAATATATCTGGGACATACTAAATCAGTGATATACAACACATGAAAAAAAAATAAACATTTTTCCCCCGATCAATTAAGGCCCTTCTTCCCTTTAAATATTTGCATTCATTGTATTTTTGTTATGATATTGACTAAATATTGTTTCATTTTTAGTAAAATTATATGGTACATGTAATTAATTCTTATTGATTTCTCAAAGTTACATAATGCAAGCTGGACACCATACCACTGTCCTCACTGTCTTTGACTGCTTGTACAAGCTTTCTAGCTTTGAAATATTCAAACATCGGGGCACGTTTATCCTCGCTTTCATCAAAGATCCAAACATGAACCCTAGCCCTTGTGACTGCCGTGTATAAATGCTTAAGTTCAGAATTGAGAACTTTATGCCTATTTGGATCAAATGACAAAGGCCTTGGACGTCCTTCCTCTTCTAACACGCCTGAAAAATACAATGAATTCGTGGCAGTAACAGATCTAGATGTAGCAGTTGAATCATAAATGTATGAACTCAGCAGACTTACTGTAATCAATTTCATAAAGACTCTCAGTATCTTTTCCTGTTGCTGCTTGCGTTTCTGTGGTTATCATCTTTTCTAAAAATTCTGTAACTATTCTCCACTCTTTTCCAGCCTATTGGTAACGGGAAACATATTGAAATGAGCGTTTAAAGAGTTGCAAAACATTTGTCTCATTCAATATGTATGAATTAAGATTTATAATTTTAGAACTGAAAGAGTCGGACAGGTCCAAACATAGGGCTAATTTTGTTTCGTGTAGAAGTGAATAGGATTGAAAGACACAGAGTCATCTTGATACACTTTACATGTACCTAAAGTGATAACAAATATATAACCAGAATTAAAAGGAAAAGTGCTGAGATAGGTAAAGACTGACAACAGCCAGTAACATATCGCCGAGGAGTATGCGTTTTCATTCAATGAGTTCCCGCGTTTGTATAAAAAAAAATGAAAGCTTTACGGAGAAAACAGCTAAATAAATGTGATTGCTTTGCAATGAAAGTTCTAAAACAAATGGGCAAATTGTTTCTTAAAGCTGAACATGATTCGTAAAAGGCAGATATCTATATGTTTGTCCGCCATACTACTCTGCATTTTCCTTTACCTGCACGGCTCCTATGTCAGCCGTTCACTAGGTTACAGTTCAGTGTAATCAGTTTTCACCGGTTTGAACGTATTCTACATAGCTATTGTAAAACTATCGGTAGTGACAAAAGGACTAAAATATAGTGTCGCCGTAAGCAACTTATATATATATGAGACTGCGTGATCGATCGAAAAAAAATTAAAAAGTATGAAGTAAAATTAAATTAAAAATATGAGGTTTTAAGCCTTTTTAACCCTAAAATCGAATTCTACGGTTAACAGTTTAAATTAAAACTTCGTTTTAACCCATGTGCGAGAACTAACCCTGATCTCTCGGATGCATGCGAGACTAAACCAGTCGAAAAATGTGCAAGGACTAACCCTAATCAGTTGGGTGAGGTAAATCTTACATCATAATACAATGATCGCGCGGATCTTGTCTATCTGGGGACCAGGAAAGTAAAGTCTACCCGTATTTGTGTGCTTCTTCCACAGCAAAAGAGAGAGTTACCAAAGAAACTTACATCAGTTGCACAGGTCAGTGCAGTATAAAACAAAGACAAATACACGTATACTACAATAAAATGTAAACAGAGGTAATGTAAGATACCCTAAACGAACACATCTCCTCCATTCTATGCGGGTACCCATGACAAGAAAGCAGTCAGGTGGAACGAATGTGAAGGGTATATCCTAATGCTGATTTCGGTTATAGGAAAACTAATATGGTGTATGCCTATTTATGAGTCGTGTTCAGCTTTAAATGTTCTATCTATAGTCATTCAAAACTGTATAAAACATAAAATCAGTTACAATCAAAACTATTGGTACTGAAAGCTTAGAGCTGAACATGACTCGTAAATATTCATACGCCATATAAGATTTCCTACATCCGATACCAGCACTAGAGTATATAAACCCTCTGCATTCAATAGACCTGATTGTACATCTGGAACTAATGGCTGACGTGTAGTATTTGTTACATTATCTGTATTCTACAATGTCTCAAAAAATCGAAGCAAATATATTCCTATCAAATTATACATAGAAAACGTATAATTACATGTACATGACAATTAAAATGGAAAAATCCCTATCAGGATAAAGAAAATAGGCATATTATGATCGCATTGAACATGTCTTTGTTTTAGATGATACCAGGTTCCCCATCTTGTCTACAAACCCTTCTGTAAAACTTGAACACCTTATTGCTATCCAACCCTTGCTTCTTGGACAATTATTGAATATACACCACTTTGGTATGTTTTCATATGGATTTGAGACATCCTGCTGTTCTTGAAAAGAAATTTTTAAAGAATAAACCAATACAAAACAATTCTTATACAATAGCATGAGCAACATAGTATAGCCCCTAGTTAGTATAAGGCTCAGGGTAGGGTCATGGTATGCGTAAATTTAAATACTATTAATGCAGCATATTTCATTATGTTCATATCCCCCTCCCCTTTATTGCATTACTTAATATTTCCTTGCTGGAATTTTGTTTAGTAAGCATATGCTTTTTTACCATTTATTTATTAGATAAACTCAATATGGGGCACACAGTTTCTACTCAGCTTCGTGAAAAGATAAAAATAACATCTAGTGATTATGATGAAATAACTGTTTTTCATGTAGAATTTGAACTTAAATAATCAAAATTTTATGTAATTTAGTATATAAGTTTTTTTTTTAGTGTATAAGTGATTAAACTATGAACAATTTTTGTGCGTCAAAGTAAAATAAACAAATAGAAATACCAACAGATACGTACATTGAAGAGGAAGCCAATTTATCATCCATAATTCTCATCTTGAAGAATACACGTACAAATAACGAATAAATTTGTTTCATTATCTAACGAACATTAAAATTGCAAACATCAAAACTTAAGGATAAATAAATCCCTACTAAAAAAAGAGGAAATCGTTTATTAATCCTGCACAATGCTTTTTGAAATTCTGATCCTACTGTTCTCCTAGATTTTCTTGACTTTCTAGTTTTTTCTCATTTAATATACCTGGGAGTCTGTGAAGAAGTTATACAGTAGGATGTCGTCAAATTCCAGACCCTTTGCTTCATAAATTGTAAGAACTATGCCTTGCTGCAATTCATCAGGCAAGTTATCTCTCGCTTCATCATTTACGACAAGAACTGCCTGATGAGCACCAAATTCGATGCGGGATGTTGATTGTTTCTTTCCCTTTAGAATCACAGCCAAATCACTTCAACAAGAATAAAAGAACATAAATTGAATAAGCAAGTGTCATAATGATGTCTTTAAGGTCCCTCAGATTTCTCAAATTTGAGAAATAAATTTATTTCTTGTAATGAAACTTTAGAACTAAAACTTAGTAAAATAAGGTGTATCGAGGCTTAATATTTCAGGTAAACTCAACGAAAAAAATATTTTAAACTGTTATTTTCAAAGAAATATTTAAAAAAAAAAGATATAAATATGCGAAACTTATTCCATATCAGACAAACGAAATATCCACAAAGATTGACTACAGTTTCTCAGAAAAAGCTAAGATAATTTACATATTCTTGACCTCTTCTTTAAAATGATATTAAATTCAGTATAGGTATCAGGATCACTTTTGACATGATTTCAAACTGAATTCCATGAAAACGATTTATTTTTTATATTATTCTATAAAAGCCATAAAGTACGGGAATAGTAATTTTAAATTAATTATGACATCATAACACCAAAAGACAAACTCATTTAATAGATCTAGACCTTAAAGAAGATTTATTTATAAAGGACAAGTATGTACACTGAACAAGACTTCTAAGTAGTCAATACACAATTTGTGATAAATTCTACAGTAGATTAAGAGAAGGATTGAAAAGACCTTATTCGGTAATGACGAATATTTGTCACCAAAATCAAACTTTGAGGGAGAAATATACACATATGTTCTAAAAGGGGGGGGGGGGATATCTGCAGCCTTAAAAGTGTTGAATATTTTCATCAGCCATGACGTCATATGTTAGATATGAAAAATGACGTAAATTCATAATTTCCATGAATTGTACAGAAAAAGGTGTATATTACGTCGATATTTTGAGTAAAAGCCACCGATAGCAGGTCTCGGCTTGATATTAGGATAAAATTACCAACGACCTTGATTGATCATAAAATTATACTTTAAGTAAATAAAAAAAATCATATTCAAAATATATTTTTGTTCTGCAAATGAAATAACTGCGTGACTTCATAGATTTTTTTTCAGTGTATACTCGTTATTAGCATTTCAAAAATAATTGAACTTTAAGAAATATAGAAAAAAAGATTTCATTAACTTCCTTTTTCAATATTACAATTTCCCATATCCAATATGATACTTCTACTTCTAAAGAAACTTAAGCACACATTTAACCACGGATTAAGGAATAAAGATTGATTAATTATATGCTGTAAGCGTCCCATTCCAGAATTTTATAATATTTGGATATTTTGCTAGAAAAAGACGTTAAAGGTAACCTTACAACAAAGCTTTAATTATGATAAACATGATGACTTCAACTTTTCAATCGTCAACCTGTCTTACTTATGTAGCAATCTATCATTATCCCCTGCATAAGGGGTTTATATCTCTCACTGATTAGATACATTGTACACAAGAGCATGCTCTACGTCCGAACAATTTTTAAAACGATGCAACAAGGATTGCGTTGATGAAGTTGATGAAACAAGGATATCAACAGTCTCGTTTGAAGTTATCATTTTGCAAGTTTTATGGTCGATATAATGACCTTGTCAGCAAAAACAACCTATCATGAGGTCAAATGCTGATTGACTTTTTCATACTAATTGTTAGTGTGTGCTCTGCTCTCGATTTGTATTGTTTTAATGGACTCTGAGATTACATACTGTTCGTTATCTCCATATTTCAGAAAGAGACACATATTTTGACCTATACATGGCAGCCGTATGGCCGTAGCAGTAAGGGATCTTTATCGTGCTTACGCCTACCGTGATACGGAACCTCGGTTTTTAAGGTCTCACCCCAACGACTAGTGACTTTCACTACTAGTGCCGGTCGCTTGGCAAAAGGACAATCGGTACCTATGTTAAACGTCTTAGGATTGACACCGGGAATGAAAATCGAACCCGGGACCCCCCCCCCATCACAAAATATAGATAATTAACGTATATAGTATTTAAACCATTATTTCGTCTTGTGTGCTACAACATCCTGTACATAAAAAAGTCACAGGTTCGTGTTCTACGCGTCAATTTAAATATCATTTTGTAAAACATTGTTTACTGCACTCACCTAACATCACATGATTCTAGTAGAATAGGAGCTGGACCTTGAAACAGTCCTTGGTCTTTCTGCAGAACGTCAAAAGATTCAGGAAAGTATTCCACAAGAATATCTAGGATACTAGATGCAAGCCACAATATTCCAGTATGTGATCGATAGTTGTGCGTCAGTTGATGGATCTGTTTAAGGAAAATCACTGTTATTTTAATGATTATGGTATTATTCTTATTATACAGTATAGTCACTACGAGATTCTTCTATCCAACAAGAACGGTTAGCAAATATTTAGCGAAATATCCTTTATTTTCTTGTTTTCTTCATAATAAAAAAGAATATTTTTTATCAAGAATCTTTTTCTCACGTCTCATTTTCATACATTTATCTAATTTCTTGTTCGTTTATTCATCTATAAAAATCGTTTATTGTAAATGAGAAAATAGTATTTAAAACACATAATTCTGCTGATCAAAGGATTGGTTTTTGCATGATTAGTAGCTGGACGATACGAATGTAGACCGTACTGGACACAGAGCAAAAGACGATTGAAAGAACAGAGAGATTAAGAAATGAACCCAACGTGATCGAAAGGTTAAAAAAGAGGAAGAACTTATGTTTCCATAAACTGTAAATGATATATTACATGTACTATATCATCATTTTTCAATAGCTGATAAACATAAATACTATTTTTTCGGTCAATCCTTTAAGAAAGGGTTACCTTGTCTGGAATTTTGATGCAAGTGGAGTGTTCTTGAGATTCCCTAGCGTGGAAGAAGAGGGAACGAAGGTCCTTGAAACGGAAGGAAATTCCCCTCATTATACTTTGAGCAGTATCGCCAGTCAAAAACATGTTATTTGGGTTTCGACAAATATTCATAAGCAGATAAAGTTCAGCTTGAGTAAAATCTTGTGTCTCATCCACATAAATTTCTTGAATGTTCCAGTTGTCATCATTCGCACTTCCAATCCTTTAAAAAAGAAATAAAAATGCATTTGTTTAAACTGAATAAAATAAAGATTTTCCAAGTCTTGTCATTCAACTTGCACATTTATTCACTAAAAGAAAGCACAGGGAATTTAATTTACATATGTAATAACCTGTTGAAAATATTTCGAACGACATCAGTTTCGTCAAACATACAGTGCTGCTTCAAATAATGTTTGTATTTTAAGAATATTCCATAAATAGCTTCTCGTTCTCCTGTAAAATTAGGAGCCTTTTTCCTTCCGTGTTCAATATATTCCTTTTTGGTGAGATAACCGTATTTATTCAGCAGAGCTTCGTATGATCCTTTGATGAAAGATATAATTTCCATCCAAATGAGGGATGGATGGTAATGCTCGTTGCATTTGCTTATTCTTGGCCACACAACATTAGAAAATATATTATAATTAACTTCTTTTCTAACGTCAGGTTTCTTTTGCAATTCGTCTGCATCATTATTTGGGTTGAACTGTCCATCTTCCTCATCGGATGCATCATCACTTTCACTTTCAGAATTATCATATTGCTGAAGAAAGCTAAGTGAGTCATCCTCATTTGTCCATCCAGGTACATCAACCTGAAATTGTAACAATGCTTTATGTCAAAACTCAAACACGTCCCTATAAGGTTGAATTTACTATGTATCAAATTCATACCATAGATCGGACAACATTGGCAAATTAAAACTTCATATGAAATCAACAATATTAGAATTTTTATATGAATGTAAAGACATGACATAATTTTATAGACCATTTAGCAGATGATCTAATCGAGGGGAAAAATATTATTCTGAAATGACCATTGGAAGAAATATAAGTATTTTTTTTTATTACAAAATGTGCTTCAATTCTCTAACAAAAAATACTATAGTTAACTATAATTAACTATAGTTTACTATAGTTAACTATAGTTTACTATAGTAAATCAAAGTGTCAAAGTTATCACTATTGTAAATCAAAGTTTTCAAAGTGATAACTATAGTGTCATAGTTATCACTATAGTAAATCAAATTTTTTAGCATTGTAAATCAAAGTTTTCATAGTGATTACTATGGTAGATCAAAGTTTTTATAGTTATCACTATAGTGTCATTTTGATCACTAAAATAAATCAAAGTTATCAAAGTTATCACTGTAGTAAATCAAAGTGTCAAAGTTATCACTATAGTAATTTAAAGTGTCAAAGTTATCACTATAGTTAACTGTAGTTTTATAATGTCAAAGTTATCACCATAGTTACTATAGTTTGTTTGTATGCATGTTGTTTAACGTCCCTCTCGAGAATTTTTCACTCATGGAGACGCCACCACTTGCCGGTGGAGAGCTACAAATTTTGACCTATACTTGGCACTTACGGCCATTTTTCGTGCCAACACCTACTGCGACACGGGACCTCGGTTTATACGGTCTCATCCGAAGGACCGGTCTCCACGTCCCACAGTGGGATTCGAACCCGCGACGTAAGGATCAACTCCTTACTTCGCGACTCTAGAGCAGACGCTCTAACCACTGCGCCACGCGGGCGACGTTAACTATAGTAAACTATGGTTAACTATAGTATTTTTAGTTAGGGTTATAAACACGTCACAATCATACCATTTTAATATAATTTTATGAATACAAAATATCGTTTCATTTTGCAATAGGCGATCTGTTCTTAAAAATGGGCTACTTTAAGAGAAGCCCATTTTAACCATAGATCAGAAAGAATTTAACCATGCATCAGAGACATAAAGTAAGAACCATACCATCAAAGTCTTACTACAAACATGTATATACGATACTTCCTAAACAGTGTTATTCATTTTATTTCAGTTCATCAAATTAATAGAAATTCGTATTCATGATTTTAATAGATTAATTAGATCATCTACATGTAGCTAGTAAAATATATCGAAATTTTCTTTTAAACATTCGATATTTAACATGTATTTTTTTTCACACACAAACACAAAAAAATCCGATTTTTAAATATATAAATTTTTAAGTGTTGCAGTACTAATGTAATATTTTATTTCTCCCACATATGGGTAGTAATTCCTATTTAATTATCGGTCACTGTAGTCTAGTTATAGGTTGCTCGTTTCTTAATAGTTAGGCCAAGTTCGATTCTAGTATGCTGCGCCGCGTAAAACATAAGAAGTAAATATAGGTAGTGACTTTTCCTTCGCCAAGCGTCCGGCACTAGAAGTGAAAGTCACGGGTCTTTTGGATGAAACCTTAAAAATCGAGATCCCGTGTCATGGTAGGCATTGGCGTAATAAAGAACCCTCACTACTCAATGGCCCTGAATGCCGATTGCGACTGTCGAGTATAGGTTTAAATTTGAAGCCCTTTACTGGTGATGTCTCTATACATGTATTAGTGATAAATTCTCGTATGGGACGTTTAACAATTTATAATCAATCAATCAAATTTAATCAGTTTGCATGTCCTATCCTTTGCATGATGAACACAGCCTATTTATGATTCAAAACTTCGTATATAAAGCAACAAGACCAGCGCTTTCCCACCACATCAAAATTAGCCAAAGTTGTTATTTGATAAATTTAGGGTCAGCTGCTATAAAACAAAACAAAAAAAAAAAAAACAAAAAAAAACAAACAACGAAAACGTTTTAATTACACATAAGTGTGAATAAAAATACCGGTATTTTTTCTTCTTTTTAGTACTGAAAGATATGTGTATTCAAAACGCTTCTGGTGCTGTATTTTAAATTTACCAATAAATTTCCAAATGAATCACGTTTAAAATATGGGTCTGGAAGAGAAGCATCAAGCATAAGTAAAAGCCTCCTCGATGTTGTAAAGACTGGAAAATGATTGCTGTCAAGATCTTGAAGTTTTGCCGGTAGAGGATCGTCATCGTTTGTAACAATTTTAGATCCTATGGCACTAGAATTTCTTAATTCACGAAAACATTTTTTAACTTCATTGCATAGGACCAGATTTTTGGTGATGAATAATTGTCGTATATTATTGTATTCTACATTCTCCTCAGCAGCCTCACCATCATGGTCTCCTTTTTAAAAAGTAAAGTATGAAATACTGTAATCAGAGTTTGAGAGAGAGAGAGACAGAAGGGGTGAAGGACAGAGAGAGATAGAGAACTACCTTTATTTTTCCCTTGATTAATTTCTTTTCTCCAGTGACAATCAAACCTATTCCAGAGTCTATAAAGACAGCATGTTGTCTTTCCTGTTCCACTCCTCCCTAACAACAAGATTGGTCTATTGGAAACTATATTAATCACAGAATGTTCGTTTTCTGTTACTTTGAATGGGAAGTCTGTTTTACTATTCACGTTCTGTATTGCACAAAGTGCCATATCGGTTGTAAATGAGTAAAATTTCAGAATATGAAATTCTGTTGCAATATGACTTGCAGGAAATAATAGTTTTCTTATTCCCTCTGTTTGCTGTAAGGATTTTGAGCATTCGAAATACTTCATCGGAATTCTTTTCCCTTTTGCAAATTTCTGGTGAAGTTTTTCGGAGCAAGATACATATTTGTCAACTATACACTCATCTCCCCTTAAAATAGATTCTTTTATTCTTTTCAATGCCTCTTCTTTTTTCTCTTGATTTTCAACAATATCCCACACTCTTATTATTTCTGTATATACACTTCTGGATCTTTCATCACTCTCTGATAGTTTCGGAGAAAAACAGATTGCTATCTCCCATAAAATAGGATATGACTCGTGAATTTCTATTTCTTCATTTAGACGTGTGATGTCTATTTTCCCACAACAATTGAAAGAAAATTCACCAAGAGCTAGATTTTGCAGTTTCTGGATGACATCTATCTTCCAGCGTTGTGGCAAAGATGAGTTGAGTAATTTTGTCCAAGCCTCATGTGTACACTCAATTTCCCATTCATGGTTTTCAAAAAAATCTGGATCAATCTTAATAAAAAAAATTTGATTATACATGTATACATAGTAAATTTCATTAAACCTTATCTTTAGTTTGACAACACGACGAAATCTTATATTCATTTACATAAATCTTCAAATTTTATACATGTTTCTTGAAAATATAATAGAAACTACCAAGAGATAGATTGCTTTGCTCTAGAAACGGGAAATAAGGAGTTGTTCCTTTCATGTAGAGACCGGTCCTTTGAACAAGACCGTATAAAACGCGATCTCTTGTGGTAGAAAGTGTTGGCAAGAAAAAAGATTTGCACCATTCAATGGCTTTAATTACTAAGGTCAAATACATATCTATGTCTGTTGCATTCTATTGGCTATTGGGGACGTCCCAATATCAGTGGAAAGTTTTCCAAGGGAAGAAAAAAACATATTGATTTGTAAGACATCCAATAATTTTATAGCAGATGAACCACGTGGCCCATGGGTCACAATGCTCATCTTATTTACCTTGGCCCTGGTGACACTTAGAAGTTCTTTTTCTATTATGCTCCTTATTTTTGACTCATATGGGGATCCTTTAAATTAAACATGACTAATATGGCCTTGTTGTCCAGGTAAAGTTATAACCAAGGTTAAAGTCATCTTAAAATTTTTTAAAAGGAGGTCAAACCTCAAAGTCAGGAGGTCAAAGTTTATAGTATATTTGGGAAGGTTTGTCATTGGTAATGAACATGTGAACTATTAAAGCCCTCTCTCTTCTTATTCAACAGTTAAAAACAAGGTAAGAGTTATGCTAAATTTTTGAAAATTAGGTCAAATTTCAAGGTCAAGGTCACGGGGTAAAAATCACATGTAATGCACATGTCAAATATGAATTTCCTATCTTCTCTCATTTAAAAGTTATATTCAATGTTAAAATTTTTGAAAAGTCAAACTTGAACGCTAAGGTCAAGGGGTAAAAAATAAGAGTATATTTAGAAAAAAATAAGAGTATATTTAGAAAAACCTTGTCACAGGTAATATGTATTTGAAATATGAACGCCCTATTTTCTTTCAAGAGTTTCTTCTCTCATTTAAAAGTTATATTCAATGTCAAAATTTTTGAAAATTAAGTCAAACTTGAACGCCATGGTCAAGGGGTCAAAAATAAGAGTATATTTAGAAAAAAATAAGAGTATATTTAGAAAAGCCTTGTCACAGTTAATAGTCATTTGAAATATGAACGCTCTATTTTCTTTCAAGATTTTCTTCTCCTATACACATGATTATAAAATTTGATCACCGATTTTAACCTAATCCTTACATCAAGGGTCATGATTTAAAAAAAAACAACAAATAATTGCAATACATTGCAATGCTTTCATGTTAACTTATCATTGCCTAGTCGTTTCCATAATAGCACTTAGCGAATGTAGAATGAAAGGCAATGCTATACGAAATGCTATATTTGATCCTGTGACCTTGATCTTGAAGTTTGACCTAATTTTCAAACATTCTAACATTGGTAATAACTTTAGAATGAGGGAAGATAGGGGCTAAGGGCGTTCAGGTGACAGGTGCATTATCTGTGACAAGACATTTCTGAATGTGTTATGATATTTGACCCACTGAGCTTGACCTTCAAGTTTGATCTTATTTTCAAAGGTGTTATCATTGTTGATAATTTTTTGAGGGAGAGAAGATAGGACATGCATATTTGACATATGCATTACCTGTGTCAAGACGTTTCCGAACATGCTTTGATATTTGACCCTGTAACCTTGACATAGAAGTTTGACTAAATTCTCAATTTTTTTAACACTGATAATTAACTTTTGAATGAGAAAAGAAAGGGTGTTCATATTTTATAAGTGCATTACATGTGACAAGATGTTTTCGAATGTTTTATGATATTTAACCCAGTTACCTTGGTCTTCAAGTTTTACCTAATTTTCACAAATTTTATGATTGCTGATAACTTTTGAGGCAGAGAAGACAGGACATTAGCAATTGACATGTGCATTACCTGTAACAAAACCTTTCCAAATGTACTATGACTTTTAATCCCATGAGCTTTTTCTAGAAGTTTGACCTAATTTTCCAAAAAAAAAAAATATATATATACTGATAACTTTTGAATGAGAGAAGATAAGGAATTTATACTTGACATTTGCATTACAATATGCCATAAATGCCAAAAATAAATGCTTCCCTCTACTAAGGCACCGAAAGCGGGGGACAACAATTCTTTGAATTTTCTTGTTGTTTTAGCAATACGATAATGGATTTCCTAATTATGAAGATAAGAATTGCTACACTTCGAGCTAAACCTGTATTTACCAGCTTCATCTTATTTATATCAAAATCCAGAAAAAACGGAACTATGCTATTATCCTTAGTATTTCTGTGACCACATCCGGCAGAGATAAGCCAAAGTTTAATATTGTTGTGGTGCTACTTACTTTAAATTTTGTTTCTTCATCTGATGTATTTTCGTTCAATACTGTCTTTGAGCCCGACGATATCTAACAAAAGAATTTATATACCTACAATTCTACTGCCATATTTCTGCTATGCTGAAGCAAATAAGACAGAAAAATAATGCTCTAGTTCCTCATCAATATTTTTGATATATTTAATCACTATATTTTTCGTTAAAGTATAAGAGCAATATTGACTTAAAAGATTAAACTTCAACAATAACAGAAGTTTGGCTATGTGGCATTTCATTTGAGATTTTTGTTTATCAATTTTGATAAATATTTCAATGATACGGTACCGATAAGACACAACCTAACAGAAAGCGGACTCCAGGCGAACCCCTGATTCGCTTTTCGGGTTAGTTCTGGGTCCACTAGAGCTGAGCAGGAGTGAACCCAGAGCGTATCCAATGCGCACCCCTGGCGAATCAAAAGTCATAGCCAGAAGCAAATCCAGAAAGCGAACCCCAGATTTGCTATTACGCAAAAGACAGTCAATCCAAATCGCAGATAAAACTCATTGACCAATCGGCATACCAGTTAGCAGTACGGAGCAAATAAAAAAAAAAAATAAGTACAAGCAATGCCTGTTTCCATAGAATTGAAATAAATGTTTTGTATGTATTTGACATTAATAAATTATTATATTCTGGGTAACATTAAATATGTACATTTTTTGTCTTAAATCATATTTTAATCGATTTAATGATATACAGCTGTAGTCATACATTCTGTGAATTTTGACAATTAAAATATCTGAAAAAAAAAAGACAATTCTGATAACCATGAAATAAAAAGATAATAACCATACAACTGCTCCTTTTCATGTTTACATTTTTTTTTTTTAACAAAATATGATGCAATCTTTTAATAGTTTTCTTCAATATTTCCAATTTACTATTAATTCAAATCAGTCATTTTTACATATTGAACATAAAAATGATTATTTACGTGTACATGTACGTAAATTCCACCGCCCATGCACACTTTACTTTGTTTAATCTTTACAAAATAATAATAGTTCCTGAGCGTATTATACGTCTTGTCTTATTTTTATTTGCCTAAACACATAACGGTGTACCTAATTATCAACCCCTTCTACATTTGAAACATCTATACACCTTTCACAACTTTTTAAGTTACCTCGTCTGAATACTTTTTTTTAAATTTGTTACGTTAGATCAGAGTTCTTTGGGGCATTGAACAATACATTTATTTTTCTGCGTCCTGAAAGAAATGAGGACATCATTCGCAACAAATGAAAAAATCACTAAGATACTGTTAAAAAGTTCTGTTAACAGAGAGAGAGAGGGGGGGGGTATATGAGGTCACAGCATGTTTCAATACTTTCGATTTCTATTACTGGAACTCTTCAAATTAGAGGCGCGTTTAGTAGCCTGACTGGGATAACATGACATAGAGGAGAATACAAAACAAGCCGATGTCAATTCAATTTAGAATGTAAAATGTACTCGCCGTTCCCATAAAAGAGTAGAAGAACAAATAGACACATGAAAGAGTGCGAAAGCCCCGAATTTATCATCCAATGATAAAAATTACGATTCATGTTTCAGAGGAATGGACAATGTAAGTCATGATGGACCGTCAACACTTGCCAACAACTCCCTGTTATACATGTATAATATATTCAAATTGATATCGTTGTCGTTTCTACTTCTGATGCATTTAAAGTCTACAACAATATAGTGTTTCATTTGCATGTTTGTAAGGCGTTTTTTTCATCGACATACATATTGTTACGTTTGTCCCAGAAATCCCCCGAGATTTGTACATTTACGAACTTTTTTTTTTTTTTTTACAAAAGAGCGCACTAACAGCTACATGTATAACTCTTCCATGGTGGAAATGCCTCCACAGTAGCTCAGTCGGTAGAGCAGTCGCTACGGGATTGGAAGGGCGTGTGTTCGAATCACGGCCGCGACTGATCTTAGTCGATATAAAATAGGTAGCAACTGTTCCTTCGCCAAGCGCTCGGCACTTTGAAGTGAAAATTGCGGGTCCTTCGGATGAGACCTTAAAAACCGAGTAGGCGTTAGCACTATAAAGAACTGTCAATGCTCAATGGCCCTGAGTGCCGAGTAAAGGTCTAAATTTGAAGCCCTTCATCGGTATATGGTGACTCCTCAATATGAGTGAAAAATTTTTGAACGGAACGTAAAACAAGATACAATGAAACAATCCATGGTGGAAATAGAAAGTACATGTATCGTATTTAAAACCTATTATCTATTACTGCTTTATGAACACCTTACATTTTATAAGATCTTAGATGCATGTACTGAATCTGACTCAATATTAAAATTTACATTACCTGTAATTGGATACGTTTTAAAAGATTAGGTACATATTAAAAAGTTCGCAAACACGAAGAGGTACATTTTAAGAAGTTTGCATTCAAACCATTTTCAAAATTCTTTATTTGCTCATCCTAACTCGGTATTTCACAGGAAGGTCTGCATTTGATGTAAATTTGACATATTATTTGAACCATTTCGAGTTTATTATGATTGTCAAGTAATCAAATAAGAAAATATCATGTTTGTATATTTTATCATTTTATTTTAAATTCTGACTGATCTCATGCCGCTTACAATGCAGTGATCATATATTGTATTTTGATGTGTTTGGGAAGAGGATGTTTTGTCTTTAAACGCTCAACCAGTCAGAAACAATAGCTGTTGAAAATATCCTTTTTAAGTAACACAAAACGAAGTTTGAAATTAAAAAAAACAATAGTCGGTTGAGACAGGGCGAAAAACGCCAATTAGGAATCCCCCTTTTGGGGAAAGAAGGGATAAAAAAAAAAGCATAACAAAGAGCCAAAGAGGTCTACAATACATGTATTCCTTTTAGGGGAAAAAATCCGAAGAATCAATGATCAATATTGTACTGCATGTACAGGAAATGATTTTTATTCCCTTTCTCTGTAAACTTTGCTACCCCTCTGACTTTTTTAAAAATACGATTTGATAATAAACTAAAAATAAGGAGAAAAAATATGAATAAACGAAATAATTTATCAATTTCTTTGGTAAATGTGTCTGATTTTTTTGTGCAAATTTATTTATCATCAATTCACAGTTATCTAATAAAAGATACAATTCTAAAAGTACACAACTATTTTCCCGTAATTCATAATATCCAAATATTAACTTTGTTAACAACCTTTGTTCACGCAGTTATAAAAATATCAGACCCTGAAACGTGCTACTACCCCCAAAAAGCGTGTGGCTTTCGTGCGCTTTTCGTTTCGTGCAAACCGTGTAGCGTTTCGTGTAAACCGTGCAGTGTTTCGTGCAAACCGTGTAGCGTTTCGTGTAAACCGTGCAGCGTTTCGTGTAAGCTCCAAAGCGTTTCGTGCAAACCGTGTAGCCTGCGTGCGAGAAGCGTGTGAGAAACGTGCGACTTTCGTGTAAGAACCGTGTGGGAACCGTGCGACTTTCGTGCAAGAATCGTGTGAGAAACGTGTAGGATTCATTCGGAAGTCATTTTATTTTAAATATGGCTATGGATGGATTAACATGTCATTCTGTGTTGTTTGTTACTAATATTATTCGGATATATCATACCAGTGGTATTTTTAGCGATAAAAAAATACGGAAACAACAAAATAAAATTTCTCGGTAATGTATTACATATTTGTTTGATTTTCTTTCTTTCTTTTGTTTAAATCAACATGGGCAGAAAATGTATTCAAAATAATTAATTATATGCGTATCAATTTTTAGGGAATTTGATTCAATACATTTTTTTTAAAGGGAGCAATACTGAACAGTTTTTAAAAAGAAAATTCTTCAGGAATGCGGTCATGTCCTTTTCATTCATTTATTTGAATCTCTTCGCCAGTTTACAACTATGGTATATAGAGATTACAAGAACATATGGGTGATTAATACACAATAATAGATAGATATGGCAGGCATGAAAAATAAAACACAAAATTTAGTGCGTTGTTATAAATGTGAAGTATGGGAATTCTAGGCCCGGGAGAACAATTATTTTTTTTTCTTTATAAACGAACATAATTTTCCTATATTACAAGATTGTGATACAAATAATTTTGAAATCAATTAGGCTATAGTCTTTTTATGCATAAAATTAGTTGATTAATAATTGTCTTACAAATGAATCATAATTAACATGCATCGGCAAATACGGGGTTAAATATTTCCGGGGGGGGGGGGGGGTTGTTAAAATGAAAACACAAACTTTGAGTTTTTGTTGTTAACAAATTTTAATAGATAATTTTTTTTTAAAGAAAATTATTGCTTTTGTGCGCCCGATGCACCCCTAAAAAATATATTGGAATCTTCTTTACACCTCCGACACTCTTCTTACGACTGTGATCAAGGTCATTTACAACAGGGATCACGGGGTCCGCGTGCCGTGAACTGAAAACTTGTTCTGCTACATGTATAATCTCTTGTCAATCATGGCTAAGATGACACCCCACAATAATGAATGATTTTTAATTCGTGAAACTAAATGGTTTTATTCTTATTTAATGGGTACAAATAAATACACGTGCCCGTGGATTTTATTTCTTAAATTTATCCGATTGTCTGTAAACAATGAATTAATTTGCCAGTGTATTCGTGAATTAAAGATATAACGAAATAAATCCTGAATAATTATATATTAGTTGTTTTATAAATCACGCAGTTCTAGAGCATAATTTTTAGTTTTTTTGGACATTGGACATGTATACATGTATATTGAATGTACTGTTAAGAGCCGCGACTATTGATAACATTTTTTTGTCTGGACGGGGTTTGAGATCAAGGATTTTACAAGGTGTCGGGTATATTGTTTTTATTTGATAAACACAATGCCTCAAAAGAGGACTAAAGAATTATAAAACCTATCCCCCGGCTTCTCTACCAAATTAAATTTTAATGATAAATCAAAGTTTAATTCTATAGTGAAACGATATATTTACCATTCTGAATAAAGTGCATTTAATGAATTACATCTAACTGCTCCCGCTGGAGATTTGGATATCCTTTTTTTCTTAGAACGGGCAATTGTTTCTATAATAATTTTTTTCCCAATGATATACTTCTGAAAAAAGTGCCCGTTATATATAAACATGTACAGAAGTAAGATCTCGGTAATCTAACCCCCCCCCCCTTTCCTGCACAATGTTCTTGTTTGATGCAGTGTACATATTACCTTTGCAAATCATAAACAGAACCTAATTTAATCAAATGAGAGTATTTATTTACTAAATCCAAAAAAAAAAAAAAAAAAAAAAAAAAAAAAAAATCAATAATTTGAAAAAAAAAGAAAAAAAAATCAATCCGTTTATAGAAATCATACGCAATTTAATCAATTATTTTTTTTTCACGGGTTTATTTGTCAGTAATAAAACGACTGTTTAATATCAAACTATAATTGTAAACACATTAAATGCTGTAAAAGATTATGAATTACGAATATATATTTTTTTTCAGTGCGTAATTTAGAGTCTAGTGAAAAAGGTTTGTACATGGACGATGATAGGCATTTCACCGGGCGGGTGACATACTCAATGACAACTATTAATCAATTACAACTTAGCATTGAGTATTTTATCTGTTAATACAGTACTTGTGTAGCGAGTTCTAATCTTAACTTAATCTAAATGATTGCAATTCTTAACTAATCTTTGATTAATCCGTAATAATTAAAATAAAATCCGAGAGATTCCGAATAGAAAATCCAGATCGAGGCCAAAGCGTGCGAAAATCGTGTACAAAGCGTGTGAGAAACGTGTACAAAGCGTTTCGTGCAGGCTTTCGTGTAAACCGTGCAGCCTTTCGTGCAAAGCGTTTCGTGTAAACCGTGTAGCGTTTCGTGCAAACCGTGTAGCGTTTCGTGTAAATCGTGTAGCGAGTGTGTACCGTTCGTGCAGCGTGCGTGTGGGGTAGTAGCACGTTTCAGGGTCTGTATGTATACTTTTATAAAATTCAACACAAACATTGTCTTCTCTGAAGATTCTACCGCGGATTCTCGACTTCTTGAAAGTCTTCTCAACCAATTATAATTTATTACCGAACATTAATTTATTTATCGAACATATAAAGAAATAATTCTGGTACACTATTTTAATTGGCATTCTCCAATTTGTTGTTAACATATATGCGTGTACGTGCTTCCGGTCGCCACTGAACAACAACAATAAACCATTATAACTTCTCTACGTTTGGAATGAACCTGGGGAGGGGCTAAGAGACGGTAAGTTAAAACGGGTTCGCTTCACGCATGAGTGAAAGCGAACGTCAGATTTGCTCAAGCAGCCCCACGTCTGACTTCAAACGAACGCAGAGTGCATCCAGAGTGCACCCAAAGTGCATCCATATTTTATAATAGCTGACCCCGAGTGAACGCAAAGCGAACCCAGGGTTCGCTTTGGGGTTCACACTGGTGTTAGTTTGGGTCTGGTCGGTACGGTATGCTGATGCAATGCAAACTAAATGATATTCACAGATATTTCGATAAAACGCATAGCATGTCATGTGAGAAAATCATCAACAAAAAAAAAAAAAAAAAAAAAAAAGGAAAAAAATACCTTTTGAGTCTCTCTTTGATTGTATACACTACATTCTTGTTTTTCTGAACTTGTATTGCCATTTTTTCTCTTTTTCAGCATGTGTTCTTCAGAGTACATGCCTATTTCCTGTAAATCATCTATCATCCCTCTGATTTCCTCCATCAATCTCTCCTTCTTCAACGGTACGTCAGGCATTTGAAGTTCAGATTTTGGCTTTCTTGTCTTTTGTTCATTTTTATGATCTTCATTAACGTCATCACTATTGTTTGATTTATCAGATTTCGTCCCCTTTAACGCTAATCGGAAATACTGTCAAAGGCAAAATAATTTAGATGTTATTCCAGAGGTATCTAACAAAGAACTTTCAAATATGCAAGTATTATACCCTAAAAAATCATTGGTGGTGGAGTGGGTGTAACAAAAAATAGCCAACTAATGTATATATTTTCCAAGAATGAAAGTTTGAAAATTTAAGTTGATTTAATTTATTAATAGTTAATTAATCAAAATAACTTTCAAAATCAACTCAGATGTTAGTTTTGGACATGTATAAATGTTAGATCTTGTTAATTTTCCTTTGTTTGTCCTATGATCTAATTCTCAGCGAGATAATCAAGTTAAGGGCCCATTCAAAAAAAAAAAAATGTCTGAAAGTAGTTGTCATTTTCCCGAACTCATGGAAAAGCCTAATTTAACATTGTATTACAATTACGACTTATAAATGATATGTAGTTTTCTTAAAATCTGAAATGTAATGCAAAAAAACTTTTAAAAAAATTATTAGTTTTATAATGCTCACGGCAATGGTGAAATATCGAAGATACCCGAATAGTTGCGTCTGATAATACACACTTGTGAATAAACAGAGCATTATAGATAGCAATTCGATTTAATAAGTGTTTCTGAATGATTCTTTGATGAATTTAAGATGAGACTGATAGTCCTTGTCTGTGGTCTGAGGATCAGGAGTTTCTCTTGTTAATATCAACCCATCTCCAGCTAGTACTTGAACGTGCGTTCTCATATTACATTTACAAATATAATGTAGGCTCTTTTTAGATAACAGACTCTTAAAGATAAAATGCATTTTAAAATACATATTTATAAAATGAACTTTGCCCGACCATCGGAACTGGACTCTGGAAGGGGGTGTATTTAACAAATTTGGTGAAGGACAAATTATAATTCCGACCATGAAATGGTGTTTGCTAGTGTTTCTCAGACTGTTGGTGATGGATTTCATAATTTTGGTCAAGAACTGACTGCATATCATACGAACTTTCTTCCTGCCAGATGTCAATGCGTTTAAGGTAGTATTAAGGGTATGCAGGACACATGGCACAAATTGACTACGTCATAATGCCTATTAATAATGATGCTAAAACATTATTAAAATCACTAGAAGTTGTGTAATTTTTGTACAAAGGAGATGGGTGAACAAGGCGTGCAGAATGCCTATAGCTTCAGATACATAAAAATCAAAATCAATTTGTGAATATAGTATTTAGAGTAAAGTTCTCGTCATTGAAATTTATGATGTTATGATAAACAAATTTTTTCTGAGAAAAATTTTCTCGGCAAAAATTGCTCTGTTATTAAAAAAAAATAATGTGGTATTCGTGGGGTTCGAACCCTTGCAATAAAAATCCTGAGTATCATTTTCTTTTGAGACTAACACGCTAACCACTACGCTACACAGCTCTTGATGAATGGTGGCATTTAAATCATGTTTGCGATATGACCCTTGACTAAATGGACTTCAAGTATTTCTAGGAAAGATGCGAATGTTGTGTCATAAAAGTGTATTTTAAAGGTAGAGTGGGTCTTTGCTCCATGTTTTTGTTACCCAAAAAATGTACATTTTTACGCAAACTTTGAGAATAAACTTTGAAAAATATGGAGCGAAGACCCACTCATATCGAAAATTTGTGTTATAATATGAGAAAATGATACTTTTTGCCCTCTTTAGTGTGTGTATGCTATTTCATAAGCAAATAATTTCAAGCTTTGAGAGATTTTTGCAAATTGTGGAGATTTTACATAAAGTATACTTTAATGTTAGATGAAATATCAAATAAAATTTTGTTATAATTGAAATTTAATTTTCACCTTCATGTTTGTCGTACTATAGGCATTGCGCTCGCCTTGTTCGCACATCTTCTTGGCGTGCTTTATTATCTTAGACACAAATATTTCAAAGTTTTGAAATTTATATCATTATTTAAAAATTGTGAAAAAGATTGGTCAAACTGCTCTGTTTCTCCTACACTGCGCGTCTAACAGGTCAGTGACGTCATACGTAATCTGTTAGTGTAGCTGGATCACGTACACGGTCAGCTTTATTATACGAAACAGGTGATTGTCAGCCTATTTTAAGTTATTAAATGAAAGAGGAAACACAAACATAATTTTTGCTCTGATGTTAGCCGATTTTTTCTGTATTTATATCTTATTTCCCTAGCAAAGCTTTCGTGTGACGTCATAATTGTTTTCCCGTACTCGGAAAATACAAGAGGCCCAAAGGCATTAACGGGCACCTGAGTATAAGACAACAATTTAATGGATCCATAGAGTATAAGATAAACTGATAGATGAAGCTTTGTTGCCCAAACGCAAGAGAAATAGGATGAACAGGATCAATGAAATAATTAGTGTAGTATTCAGTAACAACTCATAAATTAAATTATAATCTATCCCCCATTTATCAATATCCCATGCAAACTTTTAACAAACTATTAGTTCTTCTGTATTACTTTTAACCCCATATTGTGACCTATCACATTGGCATCTCTTGGTTTTTGAAGAACATTCAATGAGATTTTTTTTTGGTCTCATTTTTATTTATTTATTATTTATGTCTACTTGATCATTAAAAATATGAAAGTAATTTTGTATTACAAATATCGCAATACAATAAAATTTTTTGCATAACTCTCTTATTCTGTTAACTTTCAAGTACATTATTTACAGTGATTAATTATCAAAAGTGAATGGCAATGGGGAATAACTTCTCTCAGTAGAATATAAATTAATAGAGCCCTGGCCAGGACCAGAACACTTGGTCCTGATGTTCGAAAATCTGGTAAAAATATCCTTGCTTATTAAAACTTTTATTCTGTATGCCTTCGATATGCAAAAGAGCAGAGAAGATTCTCAAAGAAATAATGCATTTTCACTACAGATTCAACACAACCCAGGAGCAGAGAAGAAGATTATCTAGGAATTATTGCACTTTCACTATATGATCTATACAACCCCACCCTATACCAGAACCCCTGATCCTGGGGCCATGAATTGCAGACTTTTGGTAGAGGGCCCAATGCTTTTTACAATCATGCCAACAGTTTGACTGCTTGATGTCCTGGAGTTAAGAAAATTTTTAAAGATTTCACCAATTTTGGCGGTTTTAGCCCCACCCCTCAGGCCCCAAGCGGGCAGGGGCTATGAAATTCACAATTTTTGTTTCCTTCACGCATAGATGCTATATGCCAAAATTGGTTGAAATTGGTTTAGCAGTTCTAGAGAAGAAGTTGAAAATTTTTGAAATGTTAACGCACAACACACGACAGACGACGACAGACAAAAACGGATAGCAGTAGGTCAACCGAGTGACTCAGTGACCTAACAAAGATACAGTTTTTTTATAACAGTTACGTCATTTTAACTATGTCGTGTGTAATATTGGGGTAAATTTCACCTTTCAATATTGCTGCAGTTAAATTAAAATGAAGGACTTCAGTTTAGTCGTAAATTTCAAAATATTTATTGACAGAATTTTTTCACAAATGAGTTTTTTGTTGGTTACATGTAAGTTGTATCGAAGTACGTGATTTATTCAATCCATTTGCAGTGTGGAAAAAATCTTGCTTAAAGAATGTTTAAATCATTTCATATTATAAAACATGTCCTCATCCATAATGTTTTTATCTGTGTTTAAAATTTCTCGCTCGGGACTCGGTAATTGGCCAGTAAACAAGAAGAATCAAAACTTCATACAGACACTGTATGGAGAAATATTTGTGCAGCGACATTTCTTAAATAAGTTAAGAAATCTGATGAAAGAACTGCTTTAATATGTGTAGAAAATTCAAAATATGACACTAATTGATCGACAGGAATTTTTTCGTTGTACCCTCTAGATCATGCATTTTTAAACTTTGATCAAAGTTTTTTTTTTTTTTTTTTTTTTTTTTTTTTTTTTTTTTTGCTTTTGAAAGATGTTAATTTGTTTTATTTTAATATAATATTATTCCTTTTAATCCATCATGCGATCTGAATCATGCACTAAGAGACACGATTGACAATTTTAGAAGACGGCTGAACACTTATCATAATGCAAACAGTCTGCTTAATGTATAGGAGCAATTGAGATTTCAGGGATTACATGACATTTATAGTTTTGGAAATAAAATTAACTTAAAAGTTGAAGAAGGACTGGGACAAAAAATATTCGTGTATCTTAGATACACTGTACTACATTACAAAATTACATCAGATTAAAATTTGTCGAGCCATCTCAAAAGAGTTGAAAATGTTTAATTTGGGTGGCCTAAAGATATATTTACTTTTCTTCTTTCTAATAATTGTACTCACTTGCAAACGTTTATCCTTGTCACTCCTTAAGTATTCTGCAGACAGTTTTCCATCTTGATCTTTAATATTTGAAGGAACTCCCATTTCACAGAGCATAATTGTCACTTCTAGAGTAGTTGCATTATTGTTTGCCTTTGCCACAACATGAAACAAGCTTTCACCAAAAAGATTGACCGTCATAGGATTTAACATCGGATACTGTCCGGGATTTTTCTGATACATTTCTAAAAACCTAGCCAGCAACGACATATTTCCTAAAAATAGTATAATCAACACATTCTTAAGGTTCAAAGTTCAATCTATGTAATAAATAACAGAGATTTTATTTTTGGTCTCCAAAGCAAAGAAAGATATTTTGTGGTAACATAGATAAGAAAACTGTACCCTTGTCCCTGTTCAATGCTATATGCAGAGCAGCATGTATAGGAGTGTCTCCATCCTCTACAGAAAGATGATCTGGATTTGCGTCGAAATCAAACAATCGGTCCAAGATTTTAAAATGATTGTTCTGAACCGCTGTTTCTATTGCACGTTTTCCATCTAAAATAAACAATGACACGTTAAATTTCACTCAATTATCACCTAAATAAGATAGTTTTCTTTTACATAAAAATGAGGATTTTCTCTAAGAACCATTTTTATTATTTTCCAGCATAAGCTTCTTAGCTACCTGAGAGTAGAATAGCACCGCTGTTTAACATATTTGTAATAACTCCCAAAAGTAGCTCTTCCCTGTTTTGAAACGTTTTACATTCCAAGACCTGCTCCACAAATAACCCAACAGCAAAATCACTCAAATCTGTTTGTACGTGGTGTTTTCTATACTCAGTAACGGCAAGGTGCATTTGTTTCCAATGTTCTTTATGAGCAAGACCTAGCACAATTCTTAGAAACGTCTTTTGATTTATTCTTGTTAGTTTTTCTGGAACATCTGTTTATGAAAAGAAATGACACTTAGAAAAGCCATACACTGTAGATCAAAATATATTTTAAAAAATGGGAAAGAAAATGTTTACCTAGGTTTTCTTTTTCTCCAAAAACATCTACAATCAGCTGAATTGCTTCGTTTTCAAATTGCTTGTGCAAGTCGGACCTATGTTTGTTTGCATTGAAAATTCTTATCAAATCGTAACATGCAAGGCGCATTTCATTCAATATTATTTTCTGCTTTGCACTTTCTAATTCTGCTTTACATTTTAAAGCACATTGCTCGTAAATTTCAGCTTCTTTTTCTTTCTCCTTCCTACAACAAAATAAAAGCTAAATTAATTATGTCAAAACAGGTTTTCATATTTCGCTTTATCATAAGAAATCATGGAGATAATCATTATGAAGGTACACAAGTCGACAAAGTTTGACAGAATACCTCATTTCCTTTTCACGATTTAGTTGTTCTTGATGTTTCTTTTTGTCTATCACCATTTGCTGTCGTACCATTTGATCTTTTCGTCTATTTTCCTCTTCTCTTTTACTTATCTCTTCTTGCTTGCTCACCTCTGAGTGATCAATTAATTTTATTCAATGACAAAGAGAAGAGAAATACATTAGATAAATTGTTGGAAAATGAAATGTAAATCATATATTGAGCATGAACTCACCGCATGATTTTATGAAATTTAAAAGAACTGGAAAAGATCTTGATGCACATTTGGATACAGTCTTTTTCTGCTTATTTAAAACAAGCGGATTAATATCTGCAGCAATCAGTCTTTGAACTACTTGAAATTGAAATCGTGGATCTACACACATTGTCCTCTGGCTTACAGCAAGATGAAGAACAGTATTTCCGTGTGAATCCTGGATGTTTTGTTCGCTTTTCCCAACTACTGGGTGGATAATTTTCTCAAGTAAATTCATGTCCCCTGTGGTTTGAATTAATACAATTTTACACATTGCTACATGTCTCATCTTTCACGTTTAAGAACGATAATCAATTTCATAGTATTTTTTTTATCTTCTCACTTGCTACACAGAGGCTATAACGACATTGCTTTAAGGCTCAAGTCGATTGAACTTTAATCGATCTTTCAAAATCTCACTTAATAATATATGTATAATATCCGAAATTTTCAGTTAAGATCATCATTGTCCTATTATTATACATACCGGAAGTATGTGTTTACAATGTCATTACACGTTTTCATTCGTATTTACAGGTAATTCACTTGATTTAAATAACAATGATCGTGTTTTGAATAAATAAAATGATTAATTTAAGTTTCAATATTTATTTGTTTTCATTTCATGATTACAAACCTGAATGAAACCTAACCCGGGCTTGATCGCTCCCTCACAAGATTGCTCGTAATCGGTATACAATTCTTGAGATAGGATTTCTTGTGCAATGTTTGCCAAACTGGGATTGTGTAGACTCTAATAATATTAAATATTAATTATAAATTTCATAATCTATGGAAAATTACTGACACGTTCCTAAAATGATTTTCTCAAAGTTATCGTCTCGTTCAGTCAAAATAAGTTGTGAAGCGATTTGTTTATAATTTACCAATTAACCAATTAATTATATCAACACTCGGACGACTCACAGGTGTAGTATCATCTATGTAAACACCCATTTAACACGTCCATCCTAGCCCCAGGCGTTCACTGTTATCCAGATAAGTCCAAACTGAATTAATCGTATGCTTGATTAAGGTGTATACATGCGCAATCAAAACTTCGAGAGATAGAGAGTAAAAAACAATGAAATATGTGTAACGGGACCCGGGTCTTGGTTCGAGAGATAGAGAACTTCGAGAGATCGGGAGTTCGAGAGATCAAGAGTAAATTTGCTTAGTTATATAAAGGGAAAAAAACGGGACTGGAGGTTCACTTCGAGAGATCGAGAACTTCGAGAGATCGGAGTTCGAGTCATCGAGAGTCACCTGTATTTTCTTTTTCCATCCTCTGTATAAACCCTGATGCGTTTGTAAAAAAGTGAGAACTATTGACGAAAAAATGTGTGGGTAAAAAACTGAAAAAGGAAAACAGATATTTTAAAGAAAAAGTCAGTCTAAAAACTCCGTCGTCAGGGTATGGACAAATTTAATTTGTACTATCATTTTCTCAGAAAAACTATTTAAGTACAATGTTCAAAATCTTTGGATGAGAGCCAGTCAATCTTAAAATGATCTTTATTACAATATTAACAGAAAGAAACAATGCAGTGGATACCCCATCCCTCTTTCTTCGAGCACAATTTTTTACTGTTGTTTTATTGTGAAATGATAATTAAATGGCCAATTCCCCTTTACGTTTTGTTGCACTTTAGTCAAATTGTCGAAAATGCTTGACCCACCAACCCCCTCTCCAAAAACACCCAACCACCACGAAAAAGAATTTTGGAGAATTTTCTTTTTCTTTTTTTCTTCTCAAAGATTTCGAGGTAAGTGGTCAATAGTGTCTTCCGGCTGCCCCTTTCAAAAACGTTGCTATATGCCTGAAAGTACCTCTCAGAAAAGGGGAACCTCTCTTCCCTTGCTCTACATGCGCGTTTAAGAAAAGTACATTTTTTTAAATTTTGCATTGTATTCTGCTTACATGCTTTCATGTCATATTCTAAATCATTTTGTACATAATTTTACTGGGTTTAGTTTTTAGATGATTACGAAAATCACTCAATTAAAGTTGGTAAATCCTACAATGCAATAACAAACAGAATGTATATATGTTTGTCAGAACTAAACACTTTTTATTTAAAATTCTTGGATAGCAATCAGACTTTTTTAATGAAAGAAAAAGTGAGCAAGCTCACATACCCCACGCTCCCCCAAAACTAGACAATGCAACACGTAATGAATGGCACAGTGCATTTTAAATACACAGTTTAATTCAAAAAGGGGTATTACTTGCAAAAATCATCACATCAAAACTTCTTACATATAAGGACATTCAAATCTTTGTATGTTACAAACTTAATTGGGCTGAAGTTTCTAGATAAATAATGGAATCAAAATTTCTTGGTAATATACAAATCTATACATTATGTCTTAAATACCTACAAAGTTTCAGGAAATTCAGTGCAGGAGTTATGCTGACAAACATTTAAATAATTGATGGAAACAAAATAATGTTGTAGTCAGATGAATTTGTTTATATACTGTACTTATTTAAGGCAAAACACCAATTTGAAGGGGGGGGGGGGGGGGGGGAGAGTATCCAAGATTTTGTGTGTGTGTGAATGTGTGTGTTAAATCATTAATATTTTGATCTCAAAATCAATAGGGGTCTTTTAAGGTCATAAAATATTTCACATAAAATTTCATTACAAAAGCTGATTCCAGTGGATTTCCTTATTACATAGCTGGAAAGTTTCTTCAATAATTGGCAAAACTCTTTAGGCAAAAATTATGGAATCGGAATTTACTGGTAATATGCACATCTACACACTGTGTCCTAAATATCTGCAAAGTTTAACCAAATTCTGTGCAGTGGTTTAAGAGGAGTTGCGCTAACAAACTGTACATCTCTATATTCAAGATATGGCCAAAAATCTAAGTTGAAAAGTGCCGAAATTCCAGGAAAAATAATGAAATGGGAATTCCATGGTAATATGCACATCTACACATTGTGTGCTAAATATCAGCAAAGTTTGACAAAATTCTGTGCAGCGGTTTATGAGGAGTTGCGCTGACAAAAAAACAGTACGGATGGACTGACTGACTGACACACTGACTGACTGACTGAAGGACGCGTCATAAACATTATGCCTCACGCAACTTGTTGCGTGGGGTATAAAAATGAAATATGAAGATAACGAACAGTATTCAATCTTGAAAATCCGATGAAAGGATACAAATTTGGAGCAGAGCAAACACGGACCTCAAAATTTACAGGTGGGATCAGGTGCCATGGAGGAGTGAGCATCCCCTGCCGACCGGTCACACCCGCCTTGTGCTCTTTGTCATGATCGAAAAAAAAAAACCCAGGAAAAATCCATAGACAGTTCAGTGTATAAGTAATGGCCTAACAATTAGTATGAAAAACATTGAAAAGTGCCGAAATTCCCAGAAAAATAAAGGAATCGGAATTTCCTGGTTATGTGCACATCTACACACTGTGTCCTAAATATCTGCAAAGTTTGACCAAATTCTGTGCAGCGGTTTAAGAGGAGTTGCGCTGACAAACTGTTCATCTCTATATTCAAGATATGACCAAAAATCTAAGTTGAAAAGTGCCGAAATTCCAGGAAAAATAATGGAATGGGAATTCCATGGTAATATGCACATCTACACATTGTGTGCTAAATATCAGCAAAGTTTGACAAAATTCTGTGCAGCGGTTTATGAGGAGTTGCGCTGACAAAAAAAACAGTACTGATGGACTGACTGACTGACACACTGACTGACTGACTGAAGGACGCGTCATAAACATTATGCCTCACGCAACTTGTTGCGTGGGGTATAAAAATGAAATATGAAGATAACGAACAGTATTCAATCTTGAAAATCCGATGAAAGGATACAAATTTGGAGCAGAGCAAACACGGACCTCAAAATTTACAGGTGGGATCAGGTGCCATGGAGGAGTGAGCATCCCCTGCCGACCGGTCACACCCGCCTTGTGCTCTTTGTCATGATCGAAAAAAAACCCCAGGAAAAATCCATAGACAGTTCAGTGTATAAGTAATGGCCTAACAATTAGTATGAAAAACATCAGTCAGCATTTGAGTTAATGATAGGTTGTATGTGCTGACAAGGGCATTGTATCGACTATAAAACTTGCGAAATGATGACTTCAAACGAGACTGTTGATATTCTTGTTTCATCAACTTGATTGTCATTTGTCCCCAGTCGCGCAAATACTTTCTTTTCAATTTTGATATTTTTTCTCATCAAATTCTGATCAGTTCGGACTCAGTGTATTGAAGTGCAAGGTTTTACGATGAAGTGACAGCGTGTTTACTGGTGAGTTTTGATGGAGTCGATTACTTTTTTCTGATGCATACTACAAACAAGAGAAGTGTTTTTTTTTTTTTAATTTCCAGATATGAATAAGTTCGACGCGTTTCCTCGATTTGCAGTAATTCTATTTGAATGCAAATGGACATTCATAACATAGACGCTGGTTGTTCCTTTCTTACGATAGATAATTGCACATTGTTTGTACAAGTTTTACTGCGCATCATTTGAAATTCATTCTGTATATATTGGCTTGCTTTACAAAATACACGTGCAACTATGTTTTTTCTTCCATAATTGAATTATTATATTATTCAAAACAATAATTATTCATAAATATAATTATGACTGTTTATATCTGATATGGTTTTAAAACCTATCCATCAAGCATGTGTTTCCAAATACTTTACTATCAGAGATGTGCATGAATCGACAGTCAAATCAAAAATTTACCCAAGTCTAACGAGCTCATTGTGGTATATGTCATTATAATTAGACAGGTATTTGAAAGAAAATATGGCGGAATACAGCTGTGTGGTATGAAACAAGTCGTACTTTGATGAAAATGTTGCGTTTTCAAGAATTCATGTCAACTTTAATAAAAGACTTTGATCTGCTGCTATCTTCCCAGCCCAGATTAATTTGAGGATTGCTGTTAGCATACGTCGTTAGACCAACTGTGTAGCGAATATGGGAGCACACTAATTGTATTTGTTTAGTTAGATTGGAGAAATTGAATAGTTATTTTTACTGTTGTAGTAGAAATCCTGGCAAAAAGCAATATTTGTCTAAATTGAAAGAAATTCATCCTAAATATGCATATGTAAGTATTTAAGTGATTTCTTCACTTTCATTCTATGTAGAAGTGCATACCAGTTGCCAATGTGAGTCTGACGCATGCATGAAGGAAAGATTCGCCTTTTTCTATAAAGAGTGTATGATAGTCGCTTCCATTTTCCAATAGTTCAACTAAAAGTTGAATAACCCAAGGGTGTACCCGCACTTTGTTTATGTTGCAAAGTATTTTGAGATCAAATGAATATTTGAATCTCTCGCACCAGTTTGATAAATCCATAAATACATTCCCTGCTGCATACCATTCGTCGTTTTGAATCAGTCTATAGAGAGCCTTTACCCAGTCACATTTGCAAAAGCGCTCCAAGTCTTGAACTTCGAAGTACTCAATCTCTAATGAAAAAAAAAATAAAACTGAAATTTATAATTATAGACGATTCTAATTATTCATATTTTGTTATGTATAAGCAAATGTCCTGGCAACTTTATATCAAACTCTGTAGGATATGTTTGTGATTATGTTAGGAAGAAAGATCGATTATATAAACAAATCTAGTTTTCATTATCTTAAAAAATGGAGAAAATACAATAATACATAATACAATACAATACATAATTTTATTAAATCGACCAGAGAGCTAGAAACTAAAAAGCATCATTAGGTAAAATCAATCAAAATTCAGACTCCGGATGTAGTAGGAAAATGTTTTAGATACATTCATGTATACATGTATGTCTGCGTTAAGTAATATTTAGAGAGTGCAACTTTAAAATAAGTTAATGTTATTGAAAGTTCTTTGATCATGGACAGATACTACTAAGTGTGTTCTTTTTTCATACAAAGTTTTTAAAGGGTTCTGAATATAAATAAAAGTCTTTTATATCCAGCATCATGAACAACCAAGGCGGATACTACTCCTAACTGCGTACCATTGTACCAAACTTGATATCTTTAAACCAGAGTTTTCTCGGAATATGGAGCAGACATGTCCAGAGTAGCATCACACTTCAACTTTGACATCATACTCAGAACTTGATCTTAGGCACCGAATCAGCTGGGAACTATATTCAAGCGATATTGGTACATTACAATATTAACAAGGCAGTTGACGATGGATACGGTGAAGTCATACGGTTTGTGATATAGATTGGTTTCGAGGCGGACTTTGTCGCTTACAATCAGTAAAAAAAAACAACAAAAAATCAATAGTAGTAGAAGTTGTGTCTTTTTCATCAAATTCCTCGTATATATCTTGCCGCCATATGAGTGAACACGAATATTGAAAGTTGTTTAAATTTAAATATCAAATTGATTGATTGATTAATTGTATGTTGTTTAACGTCCCGTTCGAGATTTTTCACCCATATAAAGGAGTCTCTATATACCGGTGAGAGGCTTCAAAATTAGACCATTACTCGGCACTTAGGGCCATTGAGCAGCGAGGGTTCTTTATCGTGCCAACGCCTACCGTGACATGGGGCCTCATTTTTTAAGATCTCGTCTGAAAAACCCGCAACTTTAACTCCAAAGTACCGAGTGCTTGTCGAAGGAACAGTTGCTATCCATTTTTGAACGACTTAAGTCAGTGATTCGAACACACGACCTACCGATCACGAAGCGAGCGTTCTACCGACTGAGCTACCGTGTCGGTGTATCGAATTGAAGAATTCAGTGAGAGTTCTTGAATTTTTTAATAAATTCTGCTCATTGCTAACGCATTTGAGCGCAAGCACAAAATGCACATATTCACGGCAGGTATTCTGGGGAAAACATGTTACATATAGGTAGAAGGTATTCTGTATTATCATCAGAAGACACACATCTTAATTTTCGGGCTATTTAATAGAAATGGAAACATATACCCAATTATGATAAGACTAACTTCTACGAAGTCATTTAAATACAATGCGGGAATACTTTATCGGTTTTACCGATTTTTTTTTTTTATAAATATTGTATTTTGCATTTGAAATAAATCAATTCTATAGCAAACGACATAATGCTAAAGTATTTTCCTTGTTCTATTTTGAATAAAAAAAGTAAATGGATGTACAGTGATGTCACTGACAACGTAAAGCGCATTAGAGTTTCATTAAGCTGAACTGAAATCCCCCAAGTAGTGTAGCACTGTATTTACCTATTTGAAATGCTTAAAAGATTCAGGAAGGTAAACAAATGGTTCGGAAACCTAGTAAAAATATTTTAAGGATACATACTTAGTAACACATTCAGGTGACAGCTTAAAATTCGAATTTATAACCTTCGATCTTCTTTGTGCGTAATAACTACTCATTTTCATTAGAATGATCTGTGTTTCTCAGATCGTCCATACCATTTTTTTTTAGATATTGTGAGCTGCTGATATACAGGTATCGTATTAGAACAAGACCACTTTTAATTGCATTTATCATACCTTCATTGACACAAGAAGCATATACACTGGCGATTTCAAACAAGAGATCATCCAAGTTCACATCTGTTAAACTACTAGAGAGATCATAAGCATTACGTAATCGGAAAAAGGCTTCTTTATACTGTTGCAAACCAGCATATGATTTTCCAAGTCGCAGCTGGGCCTTAGGAAAAAAGAACAAAAAAAAATCATCAAAATTTGAAACAGCTTTGTGATATCTATAGTTTAAAATTATAATTCTTATAAATAAAATAGATAAGACTTATTCTTACCTGATACGAGTTTTCAATGAATGTTCTGAAATATCTGGCTTCTTCGATAACATTTAAGTGTTGATCAAGACCAAGAAAGCAATCTGTTATCTTGCAAAATAGGTTTACTATTTCAGTCTTGCTTGCTGCTTTCATATAATCCTTAGCTTTTCCATATGATTCCAAGGCAGATTTTAACTTCTTCGCTTTAAATGCCCGGTCACCTTCATTTTTATGAACCTTAAATTCACTTTTTCCCGAAGATTTGGACGGTAATTTTGAGGAAACTTTGGTTTCGTCTTTATTTTTCATATCCTGACCACGTTTTAAATCCGACATTGCTGCTTGATTGTCCTCAGTTTGAATCTTTGTTTCGTCTACACTAGAGTCCCTTTTTTGTTTGTTTTCGGAAACGTGCTCTTCTTTTTCTATAAGGGTCTGCAGAGATTCATCAATTTCTGTAATTACATACAACTGAGCAAATAAGGTAATTGTCATTTTAAGAAAGTGCAACATATGATACTTCGAATATAATGACAAGAGGAAGAAATCGGATCACTTTTATAGAAACATAGTAACTTAACTTTAAAATCAACATGTTTTGTAACCACGGAACACATTTAACAACAATAAAAGGTCAAAAACATAGCGTCATGAGTTTCTAAAAATACTCTTCTTATACATTTTAAACAGTCTGGCCCAATATCCATTCATTAAAAATTTATTTTTCTATCACTTAAATTTCACTTTGCTTAAAATTGTTCCATTAGCATAATTTTGTTTGTCCATGTTTTAATTTTTTTATCACATAACTGCTTCCACACGATCGACATCATGAAGTATTTATCTCTTTACACGACATTACTAAGTCTTTAAACCTTTTGCTAAGATTTTTAAAGATGATCCATTTCCTTCCACATCGTCCTCGTCTCATACAGAGTCTGTATCATTCAAACACACATATATACGACTCATTTTGAAAAAAAAAGATGTGTTTATTCTGGAGTTTTCTAGAGTGCAACACAACTGTATCGTTAATTGCTGCTCCCTGACGTTCCACATGTATGAAGTCATCTTTTCTACCTTTTTCAATGGGAGTACCTATCATCTGAAATTGATTTCTTATCAACGAAGCAAAATATTATGGCATAGCATGGAATATGAAACGAATGTAACAATTCTTAATTTGAGCATCCAGAATTTTTATCGTGTTTGTAACATTTTACAAAGATGTGATTGACTACAGACATTATTTAGTGAATTGTTTGTAAATTACCAAACTTCTGCCTGCTCCACGATCCCATTTTCACAGTTTTTACTTCCGAGTTAGTTTGAAATATATCACGATATTTTTGAAATTTTTAATAACACATTTCTATCAAATTTGGATATAATATGACGTTAAGTTAAAAAGGAATGACAGAAGTCCACTAACTTTCCTAACAACCCTCGTACAGGTAGAGCGAAAGCTTCTAACTGAGTGAGGCGGTGTTGTATCCATCATGCATGCAGGTTTGATCAAGGTTGCGTTTATATTGACTTGAAAATGAGCTTACCCAAAATAAGACAAACGTTCAATCACATGGATAGGTCAGAGGCAGCATTTAAGGTGTAAAATCCCTCTGATAAGACAGATAACTTTCGAAGGAAATTATTCCAAGCAATCCAATAAATTGCCTTAACAGAGTTTAATATTGAGGACCATTTTAAAATCAACTCATTTAAACCTCAACAATATTGATTTCTATTTTCCATCGTCAATATTTTTATTAATTACTTATAATAGTTTACCTAAAATATTTACACTCAGTTAAACTGTTAAAATTTAGACCTATCTATCTCTTAACATATAATTCTTTTAATTGTAATGGAAATTTCAGATGCAGAATTTTAATAATCAATTAATTAATATTAATTATTTTTTTCACTAAAATATCAAATTAAGGATAACTCCTGTAGTTGGAAAGATAACTCTTGTAGGTGGATGCATTTTTATTTTACAAGCACAGGAAACAATCTGATATTCTGATTTATAAAGCAACGCTTCATTATGTTTTTTTTTAATGTGAATTAGATAGGTATGATAGTAAATATTATTTTCCTATATACCTCATATTTTTAATTTTATAAAGAGACAAAAAATTATTGATCTTTCTATTCACCATATTAAATTTCCTTCCTATCAAGATTAGACATAATATTCATTTCAGAAAAAAGTAAGCAATGCTTCATGCTTCAAACTACTTTCCATTTGAATCTAATGCTATTGTTGTTGATGAAAAGCAATGTTGGAAATTAAAAAAATAATTGGTGAAATTTGGAACAGAGGGATATTTAACCTTAATGCAACTCTGGTATTTTACTTTTCAAGATGTATCATCCATAAAACGTTGCTCTTTTTCGGACTGAACAGAAATGGGGATGGACCTGTTTTATGCTGGTCATTCTTAAATAGTAGGTGTGATTTTACATAGATATTGATATGCCCCAAACTCTTGAAACTGGGATGCCACACCAACCCTGAGCGTGGCGTATAAGCTCGTCTTCTGGAGTTGAGCTAAAAATCTGATGTCCGCAATTTTGTCCTTTCTCAATTTTAAGTTAATTTCGTCGATTGTGAAAGAGGAACAGATACATGTAGAAAGTTGCAAGGCTTTGCCTATGATCACCAATCAGAAGAACTAAATACAAATGTTCATCTGTACTTTGAGAGAAACAAGATCAAATTTTGTTGAATATAAAATTGCAGACCTTTGACCTCTTTTGTTATATCTTCGTATTTCATATGACATTTGTCATTAAGATTTTATCCTGAAACTTCGTAAACTTATCATCAGATTTGACCTTTCTTATTTAGATGAAGTGGTTAACATTTAATAGTTCTCATCAATACCACGAAAAACTTGCCAATACTTAACACTCTATATGAAATGTCGAGATAACAAACAATAATTATGCCTGAAATTCAAATTAAGCAATAAATTTATTTTTCCTCATATGAATAATCATAGAAAAACAGAATCTAATATGCTGAAAAAGTCAAGTGAACTTTGTGTCTAACCTACAAAAAATCGTCGTGTTCCACCCCTTTCCCAGAGAAACTCACACTATTTCGACAAGGGGGACAATGTATTGAAAATATGACAAAATATTTTAGCTGGAAATTCAACTCGTTGGTGCTGTTTGTCGATTAAATCTTGTCGTATATAAATATATAGAATGGAATAACAATTTTTTTAACAATATTGCTGTTTTATCACACAACCTTTCACGTAGGAATGCATTCTGAATTCATCAGAGGTTGAATCAGGTTCATTTAGTATTAAGCATTCCATTTCTTAAAGCTTCTGTTTACTTGCAAATTTTACAAAATACGGGAACACTGTGAAGGTAAACATGTCTGAAATCACACTAGAATAAAAAAATAATCAAAATAACATCACAGTATCATATGCTATTTGATGCTAAATTGCCTAAATCATTGCATTAGATAGTAGTTACAAGTACCTCTATTTTTCTCTGAAAGCAGTTGAAATACTTTGGGATCTCTACACTGATCGACATACTCTACAGCCATCTTTCCCTTTCCATCCCTTAGATCAGGTGAAACGCCCATTTGTAGAAGTTTTTCCACAACCTCTGGAAATGCGGTAAATTGAGACGGTTGAGGCAATTTGACTACAGAATGAAGTGGCGAATTCCCGTTCTGGTCTAACATATTCATTTTTTGTGGAACTTTATCCATGCACAACAGCATTGATGAATTTCCTTGAATTTGGATGGTAAAAAGATCAATGAATAGGTATATGAATAAAACAAAGGCAATTTTCATAAAACAAGATATATTTGAACTTTTATATCTTTTTCATCAAGATTCAAAGTCTTTTAAATCATTTAATGCCTAAATTTTTTGAACATTATTTTTCTAATATAATCTTTTAGTCCTTATCTTACTGTCATTATAAAATACACTTCTTATTCAACCTGCAAACATTTGTAAAACCAACGTGTAAAAACTAGTTTATTGTAATGCATTAACTGTTTCCGATGTACCATCTTTATGTTCATTTAACATTTATTTATAGATCAATTTGATTACAAAACAGTCAAATACAATCTTTAATATTTGAAATATCCAACTTTTCACTGATTCTCAGACAAAGTGTCTGACTGATACGCATTCATTGTTAATGTTTCAGTACGATATACTCTTGAATATCATAACCTAATTACTGATCTATTGATACAGCCCTATATATTTCAATATTGAATATCGAAAAAAAAATATAAAGAAGCCTGGAATTCATACGTTTCAATATGCTTCACTAGAATGTAAAACGTGAAGGAAATGTTTTTACCAGTAATCAAGGAAAATCTTGCTGCTGCATGTAAAGGCGTGTCGCCCTCCCATTCTTTGAATCTTAATAAGTTGTTTCCTTCTGGTGTTGAGGTGATATGTACGACAAGGGGGACAATCCATGAACTAACAGCCTTCAAATCTTGTTGCTGTATGATGAACGTAAATAAATTGTTGTATCTTATAGTGCTGAAGTCTGTATCCCTTGCAATACCTTTTGCTTCTGAGTAAATCAAGAAAATTATGAAGTACAAAACAGTTATAACAAAAATTACATGCATTTAAAATAGACGAAATGCAGATTGTTCGTCAAAGAAATATTTTCATATATAATTACCATCATTTTGTTCTATTCCAATAACCAGGTGTTTTATGCATAACCATTCTGCCTCCTTGCTTAGTCTTTGTAACACAGAAGGCCACATATCAACTGGATAGTCTGAGAAGGTATTGTACTTTTCCTTCCTCTCCAAATCTAATGGTTTTATAAAATTGTAAACATACATGTACATTTGATTTTTTGAAAAGAGAGATTTATATTTGTTTCCGTACAATGATTATTTCTGAATGAACAAAAGTTATGTTTACAAACAAGCAAGCAAATTCAAAGAATGATTTTCCCCTGCTTTCGGTGTCTTAGTGGTCGGGATGCAATTATTTTCAAAATGGTGTACTGTAACTGTCTTGTTTGTGTGTCATGCGGAAGCATCACACAAAAAATATACATATTACTGAATTAATAAAAGTTATGGTAAAGCTTAAAGCTTCTCAAAATTGCATCAAACTTCAAGATTAAAGTAATGAGGTCAAATATTATAATACAATCCGAAATATGATATTCTTGGGCAAAAGTTATGACCAAAGTTAAAATTTTTGAAAAGAAGTTCAAACTTAAAGGTCAAAGTCACTGGGCAAAATCATAGTATTATGTTTTGAAATAATATACATGTGATATATGTAATCCCTATCTTTTCTCATTTGAAAAGTTATGACCAAGATTAAAGATTGTTTAAATTCTAGAAAAGTAGGTCAAACTTTTAGGTCAAGGTCACAGGGTCAAAAATCATTTAGTATATGTGGAAAGGTCTTGTGACAGGTACTGTATATGTGAAATATGAAAGCCCTATCTCTTCTCATTCAAAAGTTATGACCAAGATTAAAGGTTTTTATGACAGACACACTAACACACAGGCAGACAGAAAGACTGACAGATGGATAGACAGATAGACTGAGATTTAATGTCCCTCACTCTTGCTGTAAGCTTATATTTGAATGACATTCGGGGATATCATGCTTGTATAATTACCTGATAGGTATTGAAATGATTTAACAATTTCAATGGCAAGTTCGCATTTGTCTTTCTGGGAAATTCCGGATACATTCAGTCCTACAATAGCAGCAGAAAAGGCTTCAAAGTTCTGTCCATTTCTTCGAAGCAACTGAGATTTCCTCCAATGACCCTATCAAAGAAATTAAATTTATATAAAAACTCCATTCAGAAAAGGTTGCAAATGAATTGAGAGTACATATATTCTAATAATTAATACATTTGTAGTACATGGACTAATATACTTACATCGAATTGTAACGAGAGAATATTTTTCAAAATAATGTTTAACAAAAATACACAAAAAGACAATTCATAGACTATAAAAGGCATTTGCAGAATGTAAATCTGTGACAACCTTCATTCTCCTCTTGATGGAGTTCATAAGTGCATTTATCTTTCCCGTAGGGATATTATTCAACCCTTCCGACAGGGCAGTCCTTACTTGTTAGAGGGTAGCTGGGGCACTCCGACGCTTTCAAACCTTACCGTCCACTTACATATGTTTGTTTGGAGAAAAAGATAGACTTCAAGGAGGCCAGTCAGTTTGGTCAATGTGATTGTTTGAGAGAGAAAACAATTCTGGCTACATTTTACCGGGGATGAAATTGGCATACGGCGCACACGTTCGCTAGTGGGGGGGGGGGGGGATTAAGCAGAAAAAACACATAATGCCGCAGAAAAAATATTGTTAAGAATTTGCATAACAGATGACTAAAACTTTACTACCTTCATCCATGTATTGTCCATATTAATTGCCATCTCGGCGTCTGATAAGGCCTCTTCTAGACGGTTAAGTTCCGTATAAACTGTACATCTATTGGTGAGTAGGACAGCACCGTCTCTTTGTAAGTTGTCACATCGTCTTGACAAGTTTATAGCTCTGCTATAATATATGAGAGCTTGTTCGTATTGTTTCTCCTCCTTAGCAGCGTTTCCTTTTTCTTTGAGTTCAACAACATGTTCTCGTACAACTTCTAATTTAAAAGAAAATAGAAAATAGCATTTTATACATATCATCTTTTTGGTCTCTAAAAACTGAGAGAGAGTGTGTGAATAAATTCTCGTTTAAATGTAGTTAAAAAGTAGTTAGGAAATATAGAAATTTCAAGTATGTGTATATTCTACAATTGGTCAAATGGAAGATTTTATGCAATAAAATGGTAGCTCTTAAATCTGTTAAATATCAATTCAACAAACCAGTATCACTAAATATTCTTGACAGAGATTCGAAGCATTTATCATTCGATTCACAATAATCGATTGGAAGTTTTTCAGTTTCGTCAAAAATAAAAGCGTTGCAACCACACTGAATGCAAAGCAATAGTAACGAATTCCTTTCCTCGCTACAAGGTCTGAACCGAACGATGACGTGAAGAGCTGAGTTGCCACTCCTATCTACTGCGTCCTTTTTCTCTTGGGTGTCCAAATAATTTCTGAAGAGCAATTTAATTAGCCCGTCATTCCCTGTCAAAATATCAAGACTTGTTAGTAATTAGTTCCAAAAGGTAAATAATTTTGTTAATGAATGTTCACAAAGAATTATCGCAAATATAGTTATACTGTATTAGACAAGACTTCGGATTCTACAACATCCGGATTAGTTTTACTTTACAAGTTGTAATATTTTCATAATGATAATACAAATAATACTTTTACCAGTTTCCAAAGTCTTAACGAGCACCAGATGAAGAGCTGGAGTTCCATTACCAACTTCGATATCCTGATAAGAGGCACCGTTTTTTAGAAGCGCAACAGCAAGTTGCATTCCAAATCTTTTCAAGTCAGAAACAGAAAGGTCCTTTAAAAGAGGAGCTATCAAGATATTTTTGGCAGAAACGTTTGGAATGCAGAAATCCAAGGAACTCCTGGGACCCCTGTGTTCTCCGGTAATAAGTAGGCTTATGCCTTCCCAGTTGTGACTGCTAGCCAGCCGTTGTAAAAGTTTCTCTTGGGCTTCGGCTTCGAGAGATTCGATGTTTAATTCTTCATGTTCAGCCAAAAGGGAGTCACAGTCACCTGCAGGAAAAAGATGTTTGTCTCTTTCTTTGATAAGAGAAATATATTCTTTCAGAGCAAACACATTGTTGATTCTACATAAGGAATGGTAACATATTCTATCTTTATTAACAATTTTAACAAATCTGATTCTTGATAATAGATTTTCACAAATTCAAAATTTAAGCAATTTCCAAATATGCCCAATTATATATTTTTTTTCATAATTACAGTGTACAATGTACCAGTAGTGAGGCATTCACAGAAAAAATTGTTCATATACTTTAACTTATTTTACTCTAGACAGTCTTGGTGCATACAAACTTGATAAGATACTTTAGATGAAGATACATGTCAAATAATTATGTATAAATAAAATAAAATTACATATAAAATAAAATAAAAAAAAATTAAGTAAAAGCCATTCAGTTTCAGGTATTTTAAAGTGTTAATAAAAGTACGAAACATATACTGCGGTAATATCCTATTCTTCTTATATAATGATCTACTGTATTAATATGCAAAGGAGCAGTAATAGACATTAACAGTTCGGGAAAGTGGAAGTATCAACCTTGTTGTCCGATTGGATACGTGGATATTTCTGATAGAAACGTATATTTTTTATCTTACATTAGGTCATGAATGCTTGCACGAAGGGCAAGTGGATCTGAAAATAATGTGAGTCCCTGTTGAGTTATTACTTTATAGAATTCTCAATGCTAGAATCAAATGACCGTAGGATTTTTTAAAATGTTTTTTTACGTTTACTATGTTGGCATGTGTAGCCTGTAATTAACAGAAAACATGCTCTGTTAAATTGACTTCTTTGTTGATGCTCATTCAATATTTTTTATCTTTCTGCACTTCAAACATAATATGCACCTGTTTGATTTGACACTAATGATTTTACCACTTTTTATACCGGTATTATTATCTCAAGATTTGTGTAAATGTTTATATGCAGACTTATGGAGTAAGTTTTCTACAATGTCTTTTATAAGCATCTGAGAAGCCTAGAATTTAATTCCTGTGATATTTGGATTTTCTCCGTTTTTAAAACATAATCCTGTCGTAAAAATTTTGAAGAATTTAAAAGTGACATTTGGATTTTGTTTCTGTTTCGAAAGATACATATTGCATGTACACTGTAGCAAGAAAGATAAAATATTGATATCACACGCTAAAATCAGGCATATACTCTAAGGTTACCTTCAGACAGCAAGAATAAAGGGATGACATTGCAGGGTTGTTTTAATTAGTGTTTAACTCTTTGCCATCAGACGCGTCTCATAAACCTCATGCAAAAATGTGTCCTTGTCATAATGGTTATCTACATAGGAGCAACATGACTTATAAAGAAATATACCTGACGAGACCTAGTAAGACATAACTGCCCTAAGTGAAGAAATATAAATATACATGTAGAAACCACGAAGAAATTCACTTTTATAAGTTCACTTAGGGCTGTTTTGTTAGTTAAAGAGTTGTTGTAAAATGTGCTTTATAAATGAAATTAATTTCTTTACAATGTGTATCGGTAACGATCCTCTAATAAAACACTAATGTCTAAATAACTGTATCTCACTTCCATTCTCAATGACCGTGCAGTGTAGGGCGGCGCCGCGAGAATTCCATCGGCATCGAAAGCAAGTTCTGTGATTTGCCTAGATGGCCGAGCGGTCTCGCGCGCTGTTCTGTACTGCTAGGAGACGGATTCCGTAGGTCGAGAGTTCAACCCCGGGCTGGGGCGGAAGTGGGTATTCTTATAAAAGTGAATTTCTTTATGCTTTCTATATATATATATATATATATATATATATATATATATATACTCGTATATATAAACTCTTAGACATTCAAATAGAACATGTACAACTGGCAAAAAGTGTGGTCCCTATGCTTATTTGAAATACCTTGATGTCTGTGAAGCTGGGTTATTATAATGATGATTTCCTGTAGGAAATTTATTGTGATTTCTTGGTCATGTTGGGGTAGCGTCACGTTGTAACCTTGTATTAAGATGTTCAGAGCTTCATAAAAATCCTTTAAACCTTTGTAGGCAGTGGCAGCCCGCCAATATCCCTGAAATAAAAGTAGCGCTCTAAATATCTAAATATTTGAGGAACAGGAAACATAAATCATGCAAGTTTTGCCCCTACCTCAAATTTTGAAGAAAATATTCTTTTCCTTGAAGAATCACCAAACAAAACTCTTAAAGAACAGATGGTTATTTTTCTCAGGATTATCTCAAAGGAGTCACCAGCAAAAATATTATATTCTCTACTTTATGAAATTTTCATCACATATTTATTATGATTATATTAAATAAAAGTGCGCCAACTAATAGAAATCACCTTAGCCCAGAGAGGGTTCATTCCAATGCATTGTTGAGCATCCGTCAAAGCCGATCCAAAGTCCTCCATTTTACTTAAAACCAACGAACGATTGCTGAGAATTTTTGGCAGTTCCTCCTGCATATTCAAGAAAGGTCCGCATATATTGCAATGCTCCACTGCTAGGTTATACAATGCGAACGCGCAAGCGTAGTCTCTCCGTCTTATGCTTTCTTCTCCATTATATTTGTATTGTTGAAGTTGAACCAATGCCCACTGCCCCACTAAATAATTAAAATTTGAAATTAAAATTTCGTCCCTGGCAAAGGAAAAATGTTCAGGGTAAGATTGTGACGCGGTCATTGATTGAATTATTTTATGACTGTTTTACATGGAGACAACAAAATAGGAATTATAATTTAAAATATTTGCTTGGCCAGTCCACATACAATGTATACATATTTAGACTGTGAAATAAGATCAGATACATGTAATAGTATGCTTCTGCTAAAAATCATTTCATTTGAAAAATTTCCAAACATTTTAAGTTCAATATATATATATATATATATATATATATATATATATATATATATATATATATATATCTATATATATATCTCACATGTTTACATCTGCACAATGTATATATGTGTGTGTATATATATATATATATATATATATATATATATATATATATATATATATATATATATATATATATATATATATATATATATATATATATATATATATATATATATATATTTAGTGTATATTCGCTCTTTTAACTACAATGCATCCTCAAGGAACTAGCATGCAGAAGCTATTGTCAAAATTTTATAAAACCATGTATACGTAATTACGTTCTAATGCCCTGTTCACACGGAGAGTTTAATTCGAATTAAACGTAAGTTATTGCGAATTCAATTTGATCCGCGTTCACACGGAGAATTTTTATGCGAATTAGTTTAATTCGAATTAGTTTACTGCGCATTAAATTACTTTATATTAGCTCCGTGTGAACGCTAAGCAAAGCTAATTCGAATTAAATTTTGACGCATGCGTAAGGGCAGAATTTAGTCACAGACCACATGTCGATGGTCAAATATAGTACTTGAGCTATTTTTGAGTAGAAAACAAAGGAAAATTATGTTAATCACTAAAATGTGCACAGACACTATGACATTTTGTCAAATTTATGTGTATCTGCTCTGCACAATATGACGTGATTTGTAAATGACGTCAAAATAGCCTCACTGAATAGCCTTGTTGAAGAAATAAAATTATAATTCGCATTAGTTTACTTCGCATTAGCTGTCTTGTGAACGCAATTTAATTCGCATTAAATTAATTCGCATCATTTAACTTCGCATTAAAGTCGCCCGCGTGACGCAGTGGTTAGAGCGTCTGCTCTAGAGTCGCGAAGTAAGGAGTTGATCCTTACGTCGCGGGTTCGAATCCCACTGTGGAACGTGGAGACCGGTCCTTCGGATGAAACCGTATGAACCGAGGTCCCGTGTCGCAGTTAGGTGCTGGCACGAAAAAGACCCCTCACTGCTCAATGGCCGTAAGTACCGAGTGGAGGACAAAATATGCAGCTCTCCACCGGCAAGTGGTGGCGTCTCCATATGAGTAAAAATTCTCGAGAGGGACGTAAAACAACATACAAACAAACAAACTTCGCATTAATTTACTACGAATCAAACTCTCCATGTGAACAGGGCATAAGAAGCACTTACTCTGATCTACACTAGGAACACTTGCAAATGGGTCCATCGTGAATGATGGATTTTGTCTTGGGAAGTTTATGTCATAGATTCTGAAATAGTGTAATGTTAAAGAGCTATTTTAATATAATTCATCACTTTAAATATAGTGGTATTTAAACAATCATAAGAAGAAATGTGTGATATTTGTTTATGATCTAAGTGATGGTTTTTCGAAATGCAAAATAAAAAAAAAATGTGCAGAACTCTCGGAAAAGAACACATTTAAAATCCCGAGTAACTTTAGCCCTGCTGTTCTCTAGAGCATTTCTAAAAGTATTTTTATATTACAACGAAAAATTGTGATCTTACATCATAGACCCACTCTACACTCATGTGCCAAATTAAAAGTAACAACATGGCTGACTCACCTGTCAAGTATCACAGTCATACATTTTCATTTCCATGTTTTACTAATGGGAAGATGCTTTGGCCCAGAACATTTTTACCCAAGCATAAATTCAGTTGTCACCTACTGCCTGATCAAAGGGAGGTAAGTCTTTGTTTACAAATAAAGTAATTGTCGTCTGCAGAATACAAGTAATGGGTGCCAGGGGTAAGAATTTGACAAATGAGCAAAAAAAGGTGATCCTAACACTCAAAAGTGAAGGTAACAATGGTGGAAAAATTGGGGAAATTTTGGGAATTAATAGATTTACAGTGTGTCATTTTTTGAAAAGGAATGAAAACCAGGAAAATATCAGTTTATCAAAAGGAAGTGCAAGAAAGTCAAAATGTGGCAGAAAAAGGCAGAGTAGTGAAAGATCAGACAGAAAACTTTTAAATATTGTGAAAGTTAACCGGAGAAGGACTTTATCAGATATTTCTAATCTGTAAAATGAAAATACACCACAGAAGCTTTCCAAACGCACAGTTCAAAGGAGATTACATGAAATGGGTATCACGGGAGAGTAGTGAAGAAGACCACCACCATTTCCAAACAGAATAGACTGAAGCGCAGAATCGTTTGTAGATCTCATTTACGATGGAATGTAAATCGTGATTGGGCCCGAGTTATATTCTCTGATGAAACTCATGTTTTGGGAAATAAACAGAAAAGTTTTTTTCACAGAAAAATGAGGAAAAATGGAAGCCACGTTGTCTTGGAATTTACAGTGACCAAGAGACTCCACAGCTAAGTGTTATGTTTTGGGGGTGCCTCACCTATGGTGCTGTTGGTACATTAACACGTATAGAGGGGAATATTAACTCCAGGAAGTACACTGAAATTCTTGATGCAAATCTTTGGCCAGTTATTGCCAAATATGAACAGAACAGACCATACATCTTTCAGGAAGATAATGTACCAGTCCATACATCTTGAGAGACTTGTAGGTGGAAAACTGAAAATGGCTTCAACATCATGAAATGGCCCCCACAATCTCCAGATATTAACATTATCGAAAATGTTTGGAGAACTGTGAAAAAAACCCTTCAAAAACGGATTTCTCAAATAAAAACTAGACAGGACCTAATTGACAATGTTTTAGAAATCTGGACCTCTCTAACTCCAAATCGTTGTATCAATCTTTACCAAAGCGAGTCCGAGCTGTTCTGGCAGTCAATGGATGCATTACTAAGTATTGGAATTCTGGAGTAAGTACCTTTATTAGATTTAGAGATATATGGCCATGAACAAAGCCCATTATTTCAACTCTACATATCACTTCCGCCATTTTGTGACTTTTAATTTGGCACGTGACTGTAGCTTTAAGGGTCTATTAATCTACTTTACATGAATATGCTTCAACACCAATATTATTATTACTTTGCAGCAATAGAGAAAAAAAACTTTTTATCTAAACATGCATTATGTGTATGTAAATATGTTCCATTATTTTAGCTAAATCAAACCCAGTGTGCATAATTTGAAGAAAGAATGAATCCACTCAACTTGGGAATTTATGCAAATGAATTGTGCGATTTTGGTTCTTGAGAAGAATTCCGCAAAAATTATTTCATATTAAGTCCGATGAAAAACTTTGGTCCCCTGTTTTAGCCCCAAACTATCCCTGTTATTCTATTAATATTTAGAATCTGCATGTATTTTATATTAGAAAGGTTTTACGTAAGTTTAAACTTTTCAGGTCCAGTGATTCTTCATTGCTATTATGGTTGAATGTAAATCTTTGTTCCCCTATTGTGGCCCCTACCCCCTCCCCCGGGGCATGATTTTTACAATTTAGAATATATATTACTTCCTCTGGGAGATTTCAGATAACTTTCATCTCTTCTGATCCAGAGGTTTTTGAGAAGATTTTTAAAGATTTTTCTTACATATTTTGACCCACCCTACTCACAGGGGCTATGAAATCTACTCTTATCTCAGGAAGTTTTCACGTGTTTCATGAATATCTTCTAACCCAGTGGTTCTTGAGAAGATTTTTTAACGACCCACCCTATTTTTGCCTTTTCTTGATTATCTACCCTTGGAATAGGATTTGACACTTCATTTTAACAATTTCGAACCTCTCTAACCGGCGGAAGCTTTGTGCCAATTTTGGCAAAAATTGGTACAGTAGTTCTTGAGAAGTCGAAAATATTATTTAATATTTATAGACAGACAGATGGACGGAAAAACGGACGGATGCCGGAAAACTGGTGATCAGAAAAGCTCACGAGTTTCTTCTCAAGTTAGCTAAACAGCAGATTTTATGTGTGGCTGTCTTGCAAGTTGCTCTTATTTGACAAAACATTAATTTTATAGAAGGAGGATGAAACACCGTGTCCTAAATGTACCACCGTAAAATACCTAAAAACTTTTGCATTTTTCTTTTTATCTTTAATACAAAGAATGATCAGAACACAGCATATCTTATGTTCATATTTAAGGTTATGGTCGCCCATAACAAAAGCTTTTTAAGATGAACACGACACTTTATAATCTACTCGTTTAATTTGGTAGTGTATCGTCTACATGTATTCTTGGTCCATCCTACTTAACATAATTCTTGTTTCTTAAATAGTATTATCATGGTACATGTACATACGACAGCAGAACGGCTAAACTGTACAACAAAAATAACCAGATTTACGGTACTGTATTTACTTGTAATGATGTACATGTATTTGCAACTAATATTTTAATCAATTTTATTCAGTTGACCTATTTATTTCAAACACCAGAGTTCATACCGTGGCCAAACAATTACCATGATTTTCGTACATGTATGTTCCGTTCGGGCCAACTTTAATATAATGTTTGTTTGCCCTCTCCCGACTCAGGATGAAACAATTGGGTCGGTACGCAGGTAGATGTGAAAAAAAAATTCCAGAAAATTTCAACATCAATGCTGAATTTTCAAAATCTTATTTTGTAAATGCATAAAAAAAATTGTTTTTTCCTGGAGGTTGAAAAAAAAAAAAATTGAGTCGGGAAAGGGCAACCATTTTTTTTTTAAAGTTGGCCTCGTCATTGTTTATGGTCTAATTAGTAATTATTCTAATAATATATACATAAACCAAAATGTACATCTAGCATAGAAGTTTTAATGATAACAAAGGAACTTTACGTACAGGTGTCAGAAAAAAACATTACTGTATACTCTGTAAATAGTTTTGATTCATTATTTAGCTTATTAACCTTTGTCAATATAATTTGCCAGTTCTATTGTTATACATAGAGACTTTAAACTAAACTTCTGCCTTCTTTATGCATTTCGGGAGTTACTAAATAAGGTAATATAAGTGCGTTGATTTAATGTATACGTGTAAGTATTGATTAATGGATCTTATTTTTTATTTATTCTTGCGCGATAGGTTTACCTTGATATACTGTATGTCTTATCGATGTGGTTAAGATACCGATTTTGTAAAAAGACACTAAGAGGTGTTTATATTTAAAAAAAAATGAAATCAGATGAATGAAGCTTACTTTATTCCTATAACAATGGAGATTTATTATTTTTCATAATACACATGTAAGACCATATTATCTGAATAAAAATATTTTGGCATGATCTCTCTATAAATGCCACTCTATGAGAGTAGAAATGAAAATAATCAGATATATTTTTGACAGTGCTAACTTGCTACACGACATTTCATAGCTGTATACACCGTACCAATCAGTGAGCCTTCCTGCCAAAGATAAACTGATGGAGATGCACTTGTACGAGTTGACCCCTATTTTCTATTTCCAGGGGGAATGTGACTCATTTACAAAACAAATGCCTGGGCTTCTGATATATATAGTCGGAATTTACAAAATAAATTATTTTCCCAAGAGATCTTTACATATTTCATACAAAAATATCCATTCAAAAGGATTTATTTTGTAAAAGAGAGATATATATATTTATTTAACAGATTGAATAAATTATACAGATGGTCAAACCGTTAACATATTTATACATGTGTTAGGTAATTTCTCTGGTAAAAACTTACCAAAACTTATCAAAAGAGGGTATTTTTCCATGCAAAAGCTCAAATATCGACCTCATGATGACTGACGAGTGCCTCGCTTAATCGTTGAATTGAACTTCCTACTTTCGATTTGAATTCTCGGAAGAAAAAAAAACTATATATATATAAAAAGTATATACAGTCTGTAATTGTTAATGATATTGAAACGTTTTTCTGAAATTACTAACATGCTATCTGTAATGTATGCATAGTTAATAAATTAAATTGATATAATTTGTTATCACTTATAAAATCTGATTACCTATCAGAAACCGTCTACTTTGCCAAATTTACTCTGAAGGCATTATGAGGGGAAAAAACGGAAGGGGGGATGTTATGAATTTTAGAAATTCACTTAGATATTTCTGCTGTATGACTCGATAGAAATAGATGTATTCAAGGCTATAATCATCGGAAAAAATGAAACACCAGGTCTTTTAAAATATTTGAAAGTTAGTTTCTAAATGATTAAATTTAAAAATACTCACGACTGAATACAGTTAATTATAACTGGACAGTAGTTTGTTTTTCTCCAATACTTTTCGTAACAAAGCCTAAACCTTATCTTTTAGGTGCAAAAGATGACTATAAACAAAAACAGAGCTG